GGATAATACACATCATATTAGTTTTAGGATTCTTGATCTGAGGATAAATACATGTCATATTGTTCGTAAGATTCTTGATCTGAGGATAAATACATGTCATATTGTTCGTAAGATTCTTGATCTGAGGATAAATACATGTCATATTGTTTGTAGGATTCTTGATCTGAGCATAAATGCATGTCATATTGTTTGTAGAGCTCTAGCTATAAGGATAAATACATGTCATATTGTTTGTAGGATTCTTGATCTGAGGATAAATACATGTCATATTGTTTGTAGGATTCTAGCTATAAGGATAATACACATCATATTAGTTGTAGGATTCTTGATCTGAGGATAAATACATGTCATATTGTTCGTAAGATTCTTGATCTGAGGATAAATACATGTCATATTGTTCGTAAGATTCTTGATCTGAGGATAAATACATGTCATATTGTTTGTAGGATTCTTGATCTGAGCATAAATGCATGTCATATTGTTTGTAGAGCTCTAGCTATAAGGATAAATACATGTCATATTGTTTGTAGGATTCTTGATCTGAGGATAAATACATGTCATATTGTTTGTAGGATTCTAGCTATAAGGATAAATACACATCATATTGTTTGTAGTATTCTTGATCTGAGGATAAATACATGTCATATTGTTTGTAGAACTCTTGCTGTAAGGATAAATACACATGATATTGTTTTTATAGGATTCTTGATCTGAGGATAAATACACATGATATTGTTTGTAGAATTCTAGCTAAAAGGATGATTACATATCATTTTGTTTGTAGGATTCTTGATCTGAGGATAAATACATGTCATATTGTTTGTAGGATTCTTGATCTGAGGATAAATACATGTCATATTGTTTGTAGGATTCTAGCTATAAGGATAAATACATGTCATATTGTTTGTAGGATTCTTGATCTGAGGATAAATACATGTCATATTGTTTGTTGGATTCTAGCTATAAGGATAATTACAGGTATTGTTTGTAGGATTCTTGATCTGAGGATAAATACATGTCATATTGTTTGTAGGATTCTAGGTATAAGGATAATTACAGATATTGTTTGTAGGATTCTTGATCTGAGGATAAATACATGTCATATTGTTTGTAGGATTCTATCTAAAAGGATAAATACATGTCATATTGTTTGTAGGATTCTAGCTATATGGATAAATGCATTTCATATTGTTTGTAGGATTCTTGATCTGAGGATAAATACACATGATATTGTTTGTAGAATTCTAGCTAAAAGGATGATTACATATCATATTGTTTGTAGGATTCTTGATCTGAGGATAAATACATGTCATATTTTTTGTAGGATTCTTGATCTGAGGATAAATACATGTCATATTGTTGGTAGGATTCTAGCTATAAGGATAAATACATGTCATATTGTTTGTAGGATTCTTGATCTGAGGATAAATACATGTCATATTGTTTGTAGAACTCTGGCAAAAAGGATAAATACATGTCATATTGTTTGTAGGATTCTTGATCTGAGCATAAATGCATGTCATATTGTTTGTAGAGCTCTAGCTATAAGGATAAATACACATCATATTGTTTGTAGTATTCTTGATCTGAGGATAAATACATGTCATATTGTTTGTAGAACTCTTGCTATAAGGATAAATACACATGATATTGTTTTTATAGGATTCTTGATCTGAGGATAAATACACATGATATTGTTTGTAGAATTCTAGCTAAAAGGATGATTACATATCATATTGTTTGTAGGATTCTTGATCTGAGGATAAATACATGTCATATTGTTTGTAGGATTCTTGATCTGAGGATAAATACATGTCATATTGTTGGTAGGATTCTAGCTATAAGGATAAATACATGTCATATTGTTTGTAGGATTCTAGCTATATGGATAAATGCATTTCATATTGTTTGTAGGATTCTTGATCTGAGGATAAATACACATGATATTGTTTGTAGAATTCTAGCTATAAGGATGATTACATATCATATTGTTTGTAGGATTCTTGATCTGAGGATAAATACATGTCATATTGTTTGTAGGATTCTTGATCTAAGCATAAATACATGTCATATTGTTTGTAGAACTCTGGCAAAAAGGATAAATACATGTCATATTGTTTGTAGGATTCTTGATCTGAGGATAAATACATGTCATATTGTTTGTAGAACTCTGGCAAAAAGGATAAATACATGTCATATTGTTTGTAGGATTCTTGATCTGAGGATAAAAACACGTCAAATTGTTTGTAGGATTCTAGCTATAAGGATAAATACACATCATATTGTTTGTAGGATTCTAGCTATAAGGATAAATACACATCATATTAGTTGTAGGATTCTTGATCTGAGGATAAATACATGTCATATTGTTCGTAAGATTCTTGATCAGAGGATAAATACATGTCATATTGTTTGTAGGATTCTTGATCTGAGCATAAATGCATGTCATATTGTTTGTAGAGCTCTAGCTATAAGGATAAATACATGTCATATTGTTTGTAGGATTCTTGATCTGAGGATAAATACATGTCATATTGTTTGTAGGATTCTTGATCTGAGGATAAATACATGTCATATTGTTGGTAGGATTCTAGCTATAAGGATAAATACATGTCATATTGTTTGTAGGATTCTAGCTATATGGATAAATGCATTTCATATTGTTTGTAGGATTCTTGATCTGAGGATAAATACACATGATATTGTTTGTAGAATTCTAGCTATAAGGATGATTACATATCATATTGTTTGTAGGATTCTTGATCTGAGGATAAATACATGTCATATTGTTTGTAGGATTCTTGATCTAAGCATAAATACATGTCATATTGTTTGTAGAACTCTGGCAAAAAGGATAAATACATGTCATATTGTTTGTAGGATTCTTGATCTGAGGATAAATACATGTCATATTGTTTGTAGAACTCTGGCAAAAAGGATAAATACATGTCATATTGTTTGTAGGATTCTTGATCTGAGGATAAAAACACGTCAAATTGTTTGTAGGATTCTAGCTATAAGGATAAATACACATCATATTGTTTGTAGGATTCTAGCTATAAGGATAAATACACATCATATTAGTTGTAGGATTCTTGATCTGAGGATAAATACATGTCATATTGTTCGTAAGATTCTTGATCAGAGGATAAATACATGTCATATTGTTTGTAGGATTCTTGATCTGAGCATAAATGCATGTCATATTGTTTGTAGAGCTCTAGCTATAAGGATAAATACATGTCATATTGTTTGTAGGATTCTTGATCTGAGGATAAATACATGTCATATTGTTTGTAGGATTCTAGCTATAAGGATAAATACACATCATATTGTTTGTAGTATTCTTGATCTGAGGATAAATACATGTCATATTGTTTGTAGAACTCTTGCTGTAAGGATAAATACACATGATATTGTTTTTATAGGAATCTTGATCTGAGGATAAATACACATGATATTGTTTGTAGAATTCTAGCTAAAAGGATGATTACATATCATTTTGTTTGTAGGATTCTTGATCTGAGGATAAATACATGTCATATTGTTTGTAGGATTCTTGATCTGAGGATAAATACATGTCATATTGTTTGTAGGATTCTAGCTATAAGGATAAATACATGTCATATTGTTTGTAGGATTCTTGATCTGAGGATAAATACATGTCATATTGTTTGTTGGAATCTAGCTATAAGGATAATTACAGGTATTGTTTGTAGGATTCTTGATCTGAGGATAAATACATGTCATATTGTTTGTAGGATTCTAGGTATAAGGATAATTACAGATATTGTTTGTAGGATTCTTGATCTGAGGATAAATACATGTCATATTGTTTGTAGGATTCTATCTAAAAGGATAAATACATGTCATATTGTTTGTAGGATTCTAGCTATATGGATAAATGCATTTCATATTGTTTGTAGAATTCTTGATCTGAGGATAAATACACATGATATTGTTTGTAGAATTCTAGCTAAAAGGATGATTACATATCATATTGTTTGTAGGATTCTTGATCTGAGGATAAATACATGTCATATTTTTTGTAGGATTCTTGATCTGAGGATAAATACATGTCATATTGTTGGTAGGATTCTAGCTATAAGGATAAATACATGTCATATTGTTTGTAGGATTCTTGATCTGAGGATAAATACATGTCATATTGTTTGTTGGATTCTAGCTATAAGGATAATTACAGGTATTGTTTGTAGGATTCTTGATCTGAGGATAAATACATGTCATATTGTTTGTAGGATTCTAGGTATAAGGATAATTACAGATATTGTTTGTAGGATTCTTGATCTGAGGATATATACATTTGATATTATTTGTAGGATTCTATCTAAAAGGATAAATACATGTCATATTGTTTGTAGGATTCTAGCTATATGGATAAATGCATTTCATATTGTTTGTAGGATTCTTGATCTGAGTATAAATACATGTCATATTGTTTGTAGGATTCTAGCTATAAGGATGAATACACATCATATTGTTTTTACGATTCTTTATCTGAGAATAAATACATGTCATATTGTTTGTAGGATTCTTGATCTGAGGATAAGTACATGTCATATTGTTTGTAGAATTCTGGCTATAAGGATAAATACACATCATATTGTTTGTAGGATTCGTGATCTGAGGATAAATACACGTCATATTGTTGGTAGGATTCTAGCTATAAGGATAAATACATGTCATATTGTTTGAAGGATTTTTGATCTGAGGATAAATAGGATATGCAGGATTCTAGGTCTGAGGATAAATCCTGTCATATTGTTTTTTGTATTCTTCATCTAAAGATACATACATGTCATATTGTTTGTAGGATTCTTTATCTAAGGATATATACATGTCATATTGTTTGTAGGATTCTTTATCTGAGGATAAATACATATCATTGTTTGTAGGATACTAGATCTAAGTATAAATACATGTCATATTATTTGTAGAACTCTAGGTCTAAGGATGCATTCACATCATATTGTTTGTAGGATTCTAGATCTAAGGACATCATGGACTATTTTGAGGATTCTTTCATTGAGGAAGGAGAGGTGGAAGGTGATAAGCCCGATGAAGAACCCACTAAACCATCAACGTCCATCTCTCCTGCCATATCTCCAGACAAGCAGGAAAAAAGAGCAGGTTGATTGTCTTGAATTGGATGTTGACCAGATATTTACAAGATGTTTATTGTTCTGATTTGTTCCTTTACTCAGAAATATCTTTGGGGGCATGAGTTATCCAGTTGTCTCAGGAGCTGCAATTTAGGGGGAGAGTTGCCTCCTTTGGGCATACCATAAAGCTTAGATGGTGGGTTTCTATCCCCGATTCACCTGATGATAATTCTTGGTTTGTCTGTGCCATACACAAGCCTGGCCGTGGCCATTTCGGGCTCCCACATCAAGCTGACACTCTCTAAAATAACTGAAATATGTGTACTGTTCAAAGTGGCGCTGAACCACTCACTGTCATTCATTTATTTATTCTGGTTCCTAAGTGTAAAATTTCTAAGACCTGCATCATTTCAAGTTTTCCTCCCACATCAGGCTGACACACTCTTATATGACTGAAATTCACCCTCCCCAATGAAATGTTCAGTATAGTATGAATCAAAAAGGGGAATGTAAGCCCCTGCATGACTCTCATCTAATCTCCCCCTCTCTCACTCTCTCTGGCTCTAAGAAATGAGACCTTATTAAAATCATTCTTTCAGCACACACTGCTCGTCAGTCCAATATTGATAAATTCTTTGTGACAAAGAGTGAAGACAAGGCATCACAGGACTCCAAGACCCAGGACGAAGACTTTGATTCAGATGATTTCTTTGACACCCTGACCAGTGAAGACATGCTGGCTCTCACAGACGACGTCGACTGGGATGAGGAGATACACGAGCCTGATCTCAAAAAGAGAAAACTGTGAAAGGATGAATGTTGACACACTGTCCATCCTTGGTCTAGTCTAAATCAGTCATTGCCAGACTTGTGTTCATCTTTAGCCACATTGTTAATGTAGGAGATGAAGCCATCTTTAAACACTGTAGGATGAGTAGGAATGTATGGCTAACAGAGGTCAATAAGGCACGCCTGGCAATATTGTTACAGATTAAGCCATCTTCACACAGTCAGATGAGTAGGAATAAATGGATAATTGGGGTCAAAAAGTCATCCCTAGCCATATTGTTGGAGTGAGTGAGTGAGTATGGTTTTACGCCGCTTTTAGCAATATTCCAGCAATATCACGGCAGGGGACACCAGAAATGGACTTCACACATTGTACCCACGTCGGGAATCGAACCCGGGTCTTCGGCGTGACAACTAACGCTTTAACCACTAGGCTACCCGACCGCCCCCCATATTGTTGGAGATGACGCCATCTTTGAACACTGTCAGATGAGTAGGAATGTATGGATAACTGAGGACTGTCTGCTTCTCTGCAAGGTCCGGTTCTCAATCAGAACACTTTATCATGGCATGTGTAATATAGATGTGGTAAAATAGCATGTATATTAGTTATCATATGTCATGACAAGAACATTGATATTTAAAAAAGTACCTTGTGATAAATTACATTTATCTAAAAGGGATACAGTTAGCATCACAAGGACATATTGCGATTGTTGTTATGAGAATATTTTGTATATGTAAGTGCTATGTTTTCTGCTGTAAATTTGTACAATTTTGTCAAACAAATAAAACTGTGATATGTTCCAGTGGAGTTGTGGAATTAAAAAATACACAAATAGTTGGACCTTATCTGTTTGTAGTTTCTGTACATATGATACTCATGGTATTACTAGATGCAGACTTTCAAATTCACCCTTGTCTGCTACCACTAAACTGTGAACATTTAAAGTCCAATGATGGTAGTCCTCATGGACTCGTAGCATTTGAAGGCTATAATCTTGAACCAGTTCATATACCTACATTTTGCTATGAGTTTGAACTGAATAAAACTGACAGAAAGTGTAGACCTATTTAACATTTTTGTCTCGCAGGACTAGCTACAGAGTGACAATCAGCCACTGATTGGCGAGGTCCATTGGTGCTCTGATAAACATGCACTGATTGGCCAGAACTAGGGATGCTCACACCATGAAGCACTGATTGGCCAGGTCCAACGGTGCTGTGATAAACATGCACTGATTGGCCAGACCTAGGGGTGCTCACACCATGAAGCACTGATTGGCAAGGTCCAACGGTGCTGTGATAAACATGCACTGATTGGCCAGACCTAGGGATGCTCACACTATCAAGCACTGATTGGCCGGGTCCAACAGTGCTCTGATAAACATGCACTGATTGGCCAGGACTAGGGATGGTCAAACCATCAAGCACTGATTGGCCAAGTCAAACGGTTCTCTGATAAACATGCACTGATTGGCCAGGACTAGGGGTGGTCAAACCATCAAGCACTGATTGGCCAGGTCCAACGGTGCTCTGATAAACATGCACTGATTGGCCAGGACTAGGGGTGGTCAAACCATCAAGCACTGATTGGCCAAGTCAAACGGTGGTCTGATAAACATGCACTGATTGGCCAGAACTAGGGATGCTCACAACATGAAGCACTGATTGGCCAGGTCCAACGGTGCTCTGATAAACATGCACTGATTAGCCAGACCTAGGGATGCTCACACCATCAAGCACTGATTGGCCAGGTCCAACAGTGCTCTGATAAACATGCACTGATTGGCCAGGACTAGGGACACTCTCACAATCAATCACTAGTTGACCTTGTCCTTTTGCATTCTAGCAAGGACACAGTGTCACCACCAATGGCCCAAACCGTCAACTACAGGTGTGTCTGGTCTAAGGGTGCTACACAAAACTTTAAACTTAATCCCAGATACAGTGGTTATCTTATGCCACCATTGTTACCACAGGAATTAAGGATATTCATGAAAATACATACGTCTTTAAAATATCCTCTGATACCAAAGCTATAAAGACATAAGTAGTATGTTACTTAATGTGTCTGCCGATATTTACATCTTTTATCACACACCAGCGATTATAAAACACGTAAATTAAGCCGATTCCGACATGGTTCTATCTCGACACACAGGTTCCAACCTCTTGGTGATTCCGGGTCAGAACTGACCTCCAGCGAGCTGTGTTTGTTGTACGACTAAATGAATCGAGTGGTCAGACTCGTTTTCTTGACACGGTCGAGTTTTATTCCCGTAGGGAAACCTGGTAAGCGGAAAGGTATGCTTGTCGAGCGAGGCGAATAAGGGAATCGGATGGTCACGTTCGGTGACTTGGTTGATTGCATGTAGCCTGTGCGCACATGCGCGCCTTCGCATGACTGTGTGTGTGCGCGCGTGCATGCATGCATCAGTGTAATTTGTCCATTGTATATTATTACAAGACATTCATTCAAACTGCCTCCTCAAAATAAATAGTACCACTTGCAGTTAATACTCGTTTAGGGCTACACGTTTTAGATGTTCTGTTTTTTATGGAGTAATCGATGCCCAAAAATATCATATTGCTTTGGACAAAACAAACCTCGAAAAAAAACCCCGAAAATTAAAACATGCACTATTCGAGACGGGTGTGAACAAATCCTCCTGATGGAAAAACTGACGTGTGATGTCAAACAAAGTACGCTTCGGTAACTTTCTTTTCCCGTGAGACAGACCCCTGGTGTTGACATAAAGATCATGAAGATCATTAACAAAATTAAGACATCAACTTTGTCAGATCACTCAACGAGATACACATGATACTACAATATATACAAGAAACTCTTAAACGCGGATACAGGTTTTTGAAAAGAGGGGTGTACTAAATATAAACAATGCAATATAAATGCATTTAACTCATTAGTCAAATAAGAGTTATTTTTGTTTTAAACGTCAGCAAAATGATAGAGTGGTGTGTAGTTTTTGTTCATTAGCATTATTAGCATGTTTCAAAAAGTGGGCGTGTCTTAATCCGCGTATGTTGTCTGTGCTCTCTGGACTTTAACACCGAACGCGAGACCTTGTTTAATTCGGTGGGAACAAGAGCACATGAGCTATCAAACAATTATCTACTTTTGCATACACCTGATAATGATTTGCTACTGATACGCGACATTTAGTTAAGTGGTATCCACACAAATTGCAATATCATGCTTTGTAGGAAAAGTAATTATCTTAGCAGTAATGGATACAATGATGTTTCTTGTTAACTGTACATTTTTTTTACACAGAATCTAATAACTCGGAGTCACGAGCCTACATACACATTACCAGAACTAACAATTTATGAAAAAGAGAGTGCTGAATTGCAGTAACACAGCACAAGGATATATTCAGTATGAGGTCATACGGAACCCGGTGACCGTGAAGGTGCTGGTCTTCAGCAACGTGGTAACAGGAATGGTTGGTCAGTCTCGCTGACTTTGTTGATGCATCGCAACCCTGTCGCCTGCCTGACTCTCTTGAAGTCTGACTGTCACTGGTCAGTCTTCCGCCGTTAGTTTGTCTCGTCGTCTGTCGTATCTCTGCTTGTCATCTGGTTGTCTCAATGGTCGTGTATCTGTGTCGTCTGCCTGATTCTCGCTCTGGTCGTATGCCTGTGTCCAATCGTCTGTCTGTCGCTCTGGCCGTATATCTATCTCTCGCCTGTCTGTCTGTTAGTCGCCGTAAGTTTGTCTAGTGTTCTGTTCATATCTCTGGTCAAATTTGAAACAAACTTGTTCCGAAAATAATAGTTTTTTGCAAATCCATTTTGTTGTCCTGTCACGTGCAGCTTGACTCCTGAGAGTTTCTAGGTCTTCGTCCCTTCCCTACACTGAATCACATGTAAAACGTGGTATCTCCTAACACAAGTGATTTTGTTCGAATCATGCCTCTGTTCACCAAGCAGTGACTGGGTACCCTGTAGTAGGAGATGATGATGTGAATGTTAACATTTAAGCGCAGTCTGCCTGGGTTGAATACTGCCAAGGGAGTCCAAAATTTACAATCGAGTAGACAATGATCCAACAATCGGGGTTTAAAAAGACCTATCATGATGTGAGCGCATTTGAGCAGTTATGAACTGAAAAGTGCGATACACAAATTCATGTGTTTTAAGTTTTGGCGACAACAGAGAGCCTGGAATTTGCCGCCTTTCTATATACGACTGTGACGTCATATCTTTGCGTCACAATGAGCGATATGACGTCATAATGGTGACGCGCGTTGTAGAATGAAAGCTTTGCAAAGCTTGCTTAGTTTTTCTTCAGGGGTGCCACCTCATGTTAGCTTTCCAAGTTGCCATGCTTACATGCTGTCAATGCCTGTCATATGTTCGAGTGAAGTATTACGGGGTAAACAAACTGCCTGAGCATATAAAGTCCATATTTTGTTTAAAGGCTGTTGTCATTGAATCCGTAATCCAAATCGACAACCCACTCAAAACATTGGACTAAACGCATGCCGATTCACTCAATATGTTTGCTAGCAACCAAAGAGTTCGCGTTTTATTTAGTCATGGTAGAATGGAGATAAACAGTTTTAGCGCGGTTAAATCTATAGGTGACCTAGCTCTACATTAAAAACACAGTATGTTTATCTCCTAAATGTATTATGATATACTAGTATATTTTAGGACGGGTGTGTCCACAAAACTTTCTTTAGTGAACTGGGGTGGTAGTTAACAATTTAACAAAACATCGCTTCCCCTTTGTCGCGATTTGTGGAGCATTTATTAGTTCATTAATATAACATTCCGAATAAGTTAAAGAACGCCCGTTTTCTCATATGACTATAGTTAATTTGTTAATCTGATAGGTGGGCTTTGCAACACATGGCCTTCCAATTCTGGGTGTTCATAAAACTTGTTTTGAATGGTATGGTTATCCTACGAAAGTACAATAAAGATTTTGTAAATTAATATTGCTTTTATTGACTTCCTCACCATGATTTTGCAATAAATAAGCGTATAACATCTTGAAACAAAGTGCACATATCATTAGTAAGACATTCAGTTATATTCATTGGTAAAAAAATTAACAACTTAATGTGTCAACCTGTGTTGTTCAGGTAAACGGTTCAGAACATTGCACATTCCAGAAAACGTATAACATATATATGTACAGTTTCATTTTGAGACTAAAACTTAAACATAAATCATTTTGAGCATTGTAATCACAGGTTCATAAATAAATAGTTTTTACATTTATGTCAAGTTGTCACACGGGAATGGTAAGGATTGCACCTCACTTTCACAGGCCGGAAGCGGAAGTGGGTTTGAGATTATGCTCCATTTGAGCATGCGCTGCAGCCACATGTTTCCGGTACGTTGTAGGTCTTGGTGATCTTCCTGCCAGTACCGCAAACAAGCTGGACAGACTTGGCTACCGTCTTGGCTGGCTGGCAACATAGGCATTTGTTGTCGAAGCCGCGCATGAGTGAGGTGTAACTTGAAGTAGAGCCACAATATCCTGCACATTCCTTGAGCTCTGGGATTGGCTCCACGTTAGAGCAAACCTCACCCTCGTCATTGACCTTGAAGAAGCCAATGGATTGCTGGACTTGTCCGAACATCAGTCTGGGAGTGCAACTCTGGCATACCGAGTTGGAGGAGTTGGTTGGCACCATATCTGCAAATACATGAATCAAGTTTGTGATAGGAAGGACACGTTTCAAACAATCGATAAGCTGCTTGCTGTATTTGTTGTTCAACGCTAAACTCAGAAATATTTCAGGTACATGATGGCGACCTAAATCATCAACACAAGACCAGACAAACCAGTGACTGATATAATGTCTATGGGAAGCAGACCATGGACTTTCGTAACCAAGATATGCTCGAATGTCTCGGAGACACCTGGTTTGATTTTCATGTCCGAGGACAGTTTTTAGATATATTCATACAACTCGACTCTGTAATGTATGTTCTGCCAGTAACACTTGGTCATGTGTTCGAATCCCAAATTTACTTCTTTCAAGATTAATTTTATGATGGTGTTGGTGACATGATGTGACAGAGTTGAATGTTGTTCAAGCAGATCTTATTGGAACCCATTCACTCACTGTGAGAGAACAAAGTGGTACAATCAAACAAGGCAAAATGCTCTTCGAATCTTTTGTAATGATACCATACTAATGTTCTCAATTCTGTGACGGTACCATAATGTCTTATCCAGGCATGACCCATCGTTGCAATTACTACATGTATGGCATTATTAAGCACCCACCTGTAGGCACGCATCTGAGACAACATCCAGTAGAATCGTAGGCCTTTTCGCTCTGCAAACACAAAATACAAAGGACACGGATGAAATACATGGACATTTATATACTTCATTCTATATATCGAAACTAACTTGAGATCGTAGTGACGCTTGAATACGTGGCAAACGAATAGATATTGCAATATTTGACCCAATTTCCCATGGCACCAAGGATATATGGACATATCTAACAACATAGTGCTTATTTGATAGGGGGCGGTGGGGTAGCCTGCTTGTAAAAGTACTCGCTCGTCATATCGAACACCCGGGTTCGATTCCCTACATGAGAACAATGATGGAGACGATGCTGGTCTCTATCGCCATAATATGTCTTGAACATTGCCCATGAATCTAAAACTCATAACTCACTGCTTTGGCAGTGCCACTTAATACAACCACTTGGTTCTTATACGTACTCCTGTGCACACGGGCAACTTGTCGATACTTTCACACTGTATTTGGGTCTGCTGGAGGATGAAGTCGCCCGTCATTATGTCCACTGTACACATCTTCTCGAAACACTTCATAGAAGATGGGATCTTCTCCCCTTGCTGTTAAATATAGTAATAAATATGGTAATTAGTTTTCATATATTCTGTGGAACATTTTAACTGAAGTAACGTTCGGATATGAGATACATTTTACTGAAACGTTGACACTTAAGTATAAGATTCAAAAGTGTCCTGTTAATTATGTCGATGTATTTCTTTAAGTTGCCTTGACGTACTTTGTAAACTTTGCCGTTGTCAACGCAACCAGTCTTCATACATTCACCACAGCAGGTGCCGTCGGTGGTGCGTCTCTCCTCTCCCTGTGGATGTAAAGGGCGGGGTTAATGCATTGTCGCAGTCTGTGTGTCACGACCTTGCCTAATATGGCAACGACGGATTTGAATAAACATTTGAATCTTGTATTATGCGTATGTTCAAGTGGGCTACAAGCAGGGCATATGTCCACATTGTACCACGTCACGGCTAACAAGCTAAAATCAAATGAAATCATTTAAACTGTGATATCCTTTAAACTCGATATATCGTTTTAACGGTTTAACGTCATTGTACTGGCCCAATAATTACCAACACAATGTCCTTAAATCGAAATTCCACTTGTCACGAAAATACGAACAACTCGATACGTTGTGGCGGTCTCCATGACTTCGAGTACACTTTCACTATAACCAATTGCTAGAACTTGTCAGGGCACTAACCAGTTTGCAAGCAGAACACTGTTGTTCATGGCATGTTGTTTCTGCAGTACCGCTGGTGGTGTTGACACACTGGCAGGTCTTGCACAGGCCATCCGCCCATTGCTGACCAACAGTGTGGGTCACCTCGACTGGCCTGGGGCGGTCCACCTCCTTACCATTGGTCACCACCTTGGTCATTGAGTATCTGCAGACGGGGATGGTGACGGCCGTGGTCACCACGGGGAAGGGACTCGAAGTGCCGGCAACTGAGGGACAAGAATAATATTTGTAGTATATCCTGAACCTGCTGTTCAAGTACATCAATAGCACCACATAGGTTTGACGCCAGTATGTGAACATACTTTTCATTTAATAAACAGGGATGTAAGTATATTATTGTCAAGAAAACTAATTATTGATGTCATTCGAAATCCCCGAACGTGCAACCATTTGTTTTTTTCAAGTCTTAGTATTGAAGTTGTTTTCTCCAGCGAAATACGAAGCACAAACATCATGATGTTATTAATTAACGATGCATTACAGTTGGGAATATATTCAGCATTAATAGTTGTTTAACTCTCGTCAAAAATAATACAATAATAAGTATAAGCATAATTCTGATTGCTAAGTATTATCAATGGTACCTACCACATGCCTTGGTTGTGCAGTTGCAGCCACCAAAGATGTCCACGACCTGGGATCCCTGAAACAAAGCAGTGTCATAACGTTAGCCATTAAGACCAGTACCAGGTGAGGTGTTGCATTTACAAGCACTTATAGCTTTCAGCCGAAGCTTTGATTTAAACGAAACATACAAAGCATTGCAGGCATTGGTCACAACTCTAAATGGTTGTTTGAACGTACGAAAGCACATGGTGGTTGTGCAGGAACTGGACACTTTGGTGGACACACTGAAACAGAAAAGAAATGACATCACAAACCCTCATACTTCTTGTACGATTGCAAATTACCGTTTTTATACCATTGTGAAATATAATGTGTCCCCGTTTAATTTCTTTTTCTAATTGACTTATCATTCGGAGAGTCCGTCAGGAACAGAAAAACTCACCACAAGTGTACTCCGGGCAACACCTCTCGCCGCTGTCGACCATGGTGAGGACCTCGGGCTTCATGCAATCCTTGGAGATGGTTGGGCATTGACGTGGCTCGCAGACAACCAGATACTCCTCACAGCAACTATCCGGGCTCTTGATGACCTTGGCGACCTCACCCTGGTTCAGTGGAGGCTGAACAAGGGGAGAACACTTGACATCGACACAGGCAGCTGAAACAGCAGATTATGTGCCGTGTTTGATTGTGATACGTGAAGACGTTGGGGACAAAATCGTCTCTAGTGGTCATGGTATTGGTAATCATATGATAACCCGAGAAGATTAGTGAGAGCAGATACAGAAAATAAAATAATCTCAAACCTTAAGCCAAAATAGGACAGTGCGATGACAGTTTGGATAACAAGGGAGATACACCTGGACAAAAACACCACTTACTAAATAGTTTCGTTTTTCTTTTGGAATCGTATCTGTTTCAAATTCAATGGCAACACACGTATATTTTTGTTTACATAATAAAATTTAAAATATAAACCGAAATGGGTTATAAAATGATATGCATTATAACTGTTCAAGGCAATATCTATTTGACAACCCTTTCATTAGTTTCCTGTGTTTCTTTGTATCATACGATATGACCATCTGGAGGAACATACAATGTTCTTGTACTTATTGCCAATGAGTTTTCGGTGGTATATTGGACATTTATTAACATGAAGCGAATGTTGTATGTAGGTATGTCAAACTGATACATAGTTCTGGACATGGGGAAAGCAAAGTGCGTTACTTTTTTCCATGTGTATATATCAAACATCCGACTTACTTGGAGTAGGCACGTGTGGTGGTAGGTGGACGGTGGTGTTGGGCACAATGCCTGTTGTCACTGTAACATTATGGGTATTTATTTTACACCTTGCTGTCAGATACAGGAATTACTTTAACAGATATATTTGCTATATCAGCTTCATGGTAATGATATCACATAGTTCATTGTTGTAGTCACATTTGTCTCAAGGAAATAAACGTGGCTTCAATAGAAACTATCTTTTCTAATCAAAGTATCAAAATATTTGAACAAGCTGCTTGAACATGTGAAAAACGTTTGCTGCGGGCGTTTCTTTAAGTGGGGTTCTTTATGAGTACCAAAAATAAAGTTTTACTCACATACATATATAAAGTACGATTACTTACCAATCTTGACAGGTGGCGTGATAATGTCGTTGAAATGACTTGTTGTCAACTTGGGCGCAGCTGTTCCTGGCATTGTTGGTGACGGTGTCGGGGTGCTCGGCAGTGTGAAGATAGGGGTGGACACTAGAACATACAAGACACGCCAGTGAGACATTCTTGCGATGGTTATTGTTGCTGGAGACACCAACAGGGGAAATTGATGAACATGTTTTCCTCAATGTTGTTGTGAAATAACGAGGCAATGCAAAGCTCGAGATCATATTTGGATAACTTACTGCATTCGAACTCATCAGTGATACAGTCGGCGACACCATCACATCTGGCAGAGTGAGGGATGCATTGGCCATTTCCACAACGGAAGTCTCCAGTTGCGCATGTCTCACACTCGCACTCGCATGTATCCTTATCCAAAACGGTTGAGAGACCCTGTGAGAAAAAAGACGAAATATTTCAGTCATATATGTTCAAATCGTGACATCATGGTTTATGGCTTTTTGGATTTATTGTCAGAAACAAGGCTATAAATTATTTTTGTATTAACGTTTTGTGAAGTTGTAATGAAAAAAACTTTATCTTTATAGTTCACAGTAACAGATACTGACCTCTTTGCAGGGTGAGCAGGTCTTGGGCAGACATTTGACCTCTCCATGGACACACTGGCAGGTGTCACAGTTGCTGTTTTGGGTGATTCGACCAGGCTGAATAGAGAAATGTATAATGCATTAATAGCGGCCATAAAATGTCCGAATTCCCTAATGGGATTCGAACCACGGACCTCCTGATCCGAAGTCGGATGGCTTGTCCACATGGCGAAAGAGGTTTACCGGCAGGCAGCTGACAAGGTAAGAATATCATTTCTTGGCTTCCATGTCCTGCTACACACATTCAAGCCCAACAGCCATACACCCAGAAAACAGCAATGTCCATTATCGTCTATGACAATGTCAGTCTGATACAATATAACAAGGTGGTGATGCTGAATAATGCTTTACGCCATAGTATTCCATCTAAACCACGAGGATCGTAAATATTCGAATATATAGGCCAGATACAATAGTTGCTGGATGCACGGACAACGAACGATCCACGCCGTCAGGGGTACGATGCAACACACTCATCTCGGTCTCATATGGTGACCAACCGGCCCACTGTTTAGTTTATTTGCCACGGACTCCCAATGAGAAACACACAGAAAAGTTGTGATGATGTGATGATGAATTTTAAATCATGATCTATGTATGTGATTGATTTAATCATCTCGTTTAAGTGTCCTAAGATGCTGGCTGCGGATTGAGTGGAAGTAGAAAATTACTGGCCACTTCAGTGAATCATCTTCTATCAAGTTTCATTTCAAAACATGCCTCAACGGAAGCAGTTAGGGATACTTACCAGGACAACTTGACCATCAATCATGCACGGACACTCGGCCTTCTTGACACACTGGACTCCGTCGCAGTAGTAGCCGTTGGAGCATCCCTCCTTGGGGCACTGACTCAGGTCCATTCCTGTGTAGCAGGGGATGACATTGATGGGGGGAGAGACGGATGGGCCGGCGGTGGGTGTTGCGGTGGGAATCTTAGACACTGGAAGAGATCGAATATAATGAGTTGGGTTAACAATCAATGGTATTTCAGTTGTGTCACGGTGTGTCTGCTTAATGTGGAAGGTCAAGTGAGGTAGGGCTTCGGTATTTACGGCTCTGTGAAGCCACGGGTATGATGCCGACAAACCTAGGGACATAATTTGGCGAATCGAGAATTGAACCCACCATCATATAGAAGGAAGTTAAATAATATGTACCTGAACAATAGGGAAGGAACAATAGTAGGTAGATAGATAAGATAGGCCCCTTTCCGAGATATGTCATCAATGTCTTGGTGAACTGTGGTTACAAATCCAGTTTTTTAATCAATCAGAAAACATTCTTATTGTCATAAGGCCTTAGGCCCCAATAAATAGATCATTGGTCAATACTCACAGCATTCTGGGGTCTGTTTCAGACAGCCAAGTCTGACTTCATAGTTAAAGCACATAGGTTCCTTCTGGTCAGCGTTGTTACAGACGAGACCTTCCCACAGATTACAGGTAACCTTCTGACCCGTCTCGCCGGAAGCGGTGTGGTCGGGGGTGGCGGTTCGGCACTCGATGCTCATGGGCTGCTGACATGTTAATGATGCCTTCATCACCTCCTCGATTGGCTCGCGGTCGCCATTAGATGTAAGAGTCACGTGGCCAAGATCGATCCATTTGTCCCAGGTAACACATCCGGCTTAAGAAAGATGAAGATTTTTAATAAGTGAGTGAGTATGGTTTTGTGGCGCTTTAAGCAATATTTCAACTATACATTGGTGACATCAAGACGTTGACTGTACACATTTTCTTCATGACGGGAGTTCAAACCAAGTTTTTTTTGCATATCACACGAACGCTTTAACCACGAGGCTACCTCACCGATGCCTACCTGGAAGGAAGGGTGTGACTGTTTGGACTTGTGGGGGTACAGCGGTGGAGGAACTGCCCGGCAGGGGCGAGGCTGTTGGTTTGAGGGGGTTCACTGGTGTAGGCGACATGGCTAGTAAAAAAAAATCATGGTTATAGACAACTGAAGACAAAACTATTATGTTCGTGACACACCCCTTGATCGAAGGTGAAAATAGCTGAAGGACCTTCTTTACATGATACTTCTTCTGTTTGTCTATTTGAACGCATATTTGACCAAATATTACAGTCCCATAATGATCATTTTGGAAACTGAATATCCTTGTTACAGATAATAACGTTTACCTCTAATAAACCTATGATTCCAACTGCTACACGTTGGTAATGGTGTTTACAAACCAAGAGTCGTATTCGGAATGAACCTGCCATTCGACTCCACGACCAGCGGATCAAATCAGCTAAGATACGCAACTCTGCACTAGAAAATGGCGGCGCCTCAGAACACTGGAGCACTTGTGCCTTCTCTATATAACAGAAGTGCTCTGCAGCACATACTTCTTTCCATCACTTACTTGGGTAGCTCTCGAAGCATCCGTGGATCTCGAACCTCAGGGCGATCATGCCGCTCCATGTCTGAGGGCTAATCCTGATATAGCGGGCTCGGATTGGCGTCATGAAGGTGTTGGTCACAGGAGTCACGTTGTCGAAGTTGCCGGAGAACATCTGACAATGAAAAATAAAATGAGTATTTGTCTAGACTCAACACCACTATTTTGCATTTTTAATAATTATTGTCTTTTTGCAAATTTGCTAGTTGTTGGCGACTAATAGACATCTATAGTGATTAAGCTACCATTTCGTATAACCTCAATGCCAGTTGAAAAAATAAAAGAAATAAAATCGAAAAAATGCTCTTTAATAGCGCATGGGCTGTTAAAATGGTTGATAATGAAATATCTTATTTTCCGATGAGAACAGTATAATGAGTGGACTATTTCTTTTTTACTTGAAATACACCAATACATTGTTCGCGTAATCATATCCGTCATTTGATATCCACATATGACTTCCATAGTAATATATAAACATAGCCGCCTGAATCAATTTTTTTAAAGCTTAGGATGAAAATCTAATTTAATTATTGTAGCCTTATTCCACCACAAAGCAGTAACCTGATCCCCATTTACGCACCATATCCTCTCCCTTGGTCTCTCTGTAGGCATTCCAGTTGGCACCGTCGTAGGAGTAGAACACCTTGTAGGAGGTCACGTAGCTGGGAGCCGTCGGGCGGCCCTGAGTGGTGACCCCGGTAATGATCCTTGGAGCAAGGAAGTCGACCTGGATGTACTGGTTCTTGTTCTCAGTGGCGGCCAACCAGGCACTGTTTCCTCCAAGACGTGCACTGATGGCGGAGTGAAGGCCGTCGCGGTAGGAGGAGGCGGAGATCATGTCGTTGCGGATGATGCCGTTTGCCATACCCATTTCTTCTCTGCATCCAGCTGCACATACGGAGAGAATGGGTTATAGCATGATGTCTTGTTATGTCTCGATGTGATGGTTTCAATTGGGATTGCGGGAAGGAGATACCACATTTGCGTTGTTGAAGGACAAAGTTGTGTGTTCATAATATAAGTGAGTTAGTGAGTGAGAGAGTTGGGCTTAACGCCGCTTGGAACTTTATTCCAGTTATATCAAGGTGGGTCAGCTTCAGGTGGGAGAAAATCCCACTTGGGTGAAACTCCCAATCATAGGTTTCTGGCGTGCCCAGGGACACAACTCACCTCAGACGACTGGACCACCCGTGGCCTCAATAAAATAATAGAATTGACTTACCTGGTATGTTTGGTGTTGGGCTTGCTGTCAGTTGAACTCCGGGACTTGCTGTTGGGGTTCCACTTACGGCTTGTCCTGGGGTTGCAGTTGGGAGGCCACTTCCGGTTTGACCTGGGCTAGCTGTTGGTACGCCTATGAATGGTAATTGTTTCTTTTGTTTATCAGGTCACGCATATAACATGTAATCGTAACATCTGAAACTCATATTGGCAATGGTGCTGTTTTATTTTTTAGATATAAGTATTTGTAACCCGGGTAAGGTGTAACGTACCGGAGCAGTCGCAGTGGTATCTGACTCTGTAATCACTGCAGGGGATGGGGGCGTTGTCTCCGTCTTTACAGACGAGACCTTTTTCAACTGTACACTGCACAATCTCTCCAGTACTGTAGGATGGAATCTCATCAACAGTCTCACATTCCACCTTGTCGACCTTACCACTGGGACAGAATTCCTGGAATACAAGGCAGCAAATACATTATACACCCTCCAAAATACATTATAAAACCCTCCCAAATACATTGTACACCCTCCCAAATACATTATACACCCTCCCAAATACTTCATGTATCCTCCTAAATACGTCATGCAGCCTCCCTGTTTCTAGGTTTGTCAGCAGCATACCCGTGCTTGGGGATTTTGCCTCGGCCCCTTCCCAATCTAATATAACATGAAGCTGACACGCCGTGATATAACTGAAACACTCTTCAAAGCAACGTTAAACTCACCCCACTCACCCACTGACTCATCGAGGACCCATTTCAAACACATCATGTACCCCTTTCATAAACCCCATTTAACCTCTCAATTACGTCACGTACCCTGTCAAATACACCAGGAGATACATTGGAATGGACTGACCAATATCGCCCATACTCACAGTGAGCTGCTGATCGGTCATGAACTCATGTTGTCCATCTGTGGCCCTGTTGGTGTTGACCCAGGCTGACCAGGTGCTTGTCACACAGGACTGTTGGGGCGCAGCAGTAGGACTTACTGAAGGACCAGCAGAGGGCACCAGGGTAGGAAGTACTTCCTCGGGAGCTACAAGAAACAGGGTTCATTGCAACTGAGATTGCAGATGGTGTCTTGATGTCTTGCATACTCAGATATACAGTGTGTCATTACATATTGAGAGAAACAAGGCATGAGTGTCCCAATTCCTTTCCTTAGTCAAACAGGATCATTGGTTCGAAAATAAGTTTTATCAAGAATATATTCCTTGGCATGTCAGCACCATGTCCGTGCCCATGTAACCACAAATACCCGCATTAAAATCAGCTTTTCCTCCAATATTTAACATCAACGATAAGGTATGAATGAAATGATTTTCATAGCGATGCAAAATCCCAACTAACAGGAAAAAAAGATGCGATGGAATCGTATAATTTGAATAGTACGTTCCATTATTGTGCCTAACTCGTTTATTATATAAAGGAAGAATGCTTGTAACTAGGCTGCTTTACCGCCATTATAAAGTACCCAAAATAGCTTACCCCTGCAGCCAATGATGCTGAATCTGAGAGCGATTGCACCTTCCCACATAACTGGCTGGATTCTGATATACCTAGCAACAATTGGTGTCAACACTGTTCTCACTGCACTGTCGCCATCAAAGTTTCCGTTGAAGATCTGGCGAGACAACCAATGAATTGATACACCTATGGGTACACATGCCACAAATATCTATATTATTAGCCACATGTCATGCATATTGACATCACAGGGTACAACTGTTCAATAAGAAAGGGAAAAAAAGTCAATCATTCTTTTAAACATTAATGTCACACATATTGAAACATATTTGCACAGAGTACTGTTTATGTTATCTTGATATTTTTCTTAATCAGACTGTGTTGTACATCAGTGCATATAGAGTCGTTTATAACTTACGTGCCCTTTTGCATGATGTTTTAACACCTGTTGGTGCCAGAAATTGAAAAGGCAGTGTAAAGAGTTAACTAAACCAGTACACACCAAATTCAATTCCCTTGGTGACTGCTCGTTGCACTACACAAATGTGAGTTTTAAGATTATCTTAATACTAACGTAGAAGTAGCATACATACAAAGTATTGGTGGCTGAGTCGTAAGAACAGTACCTTAGGAGAGCCAGCAGACTTTTCATAGTATTGGAAGGTCTTGCCATCGATTGAGTAAGCGATCATGAATGCCTTCACCCATTGGGATGATCCTTCCCGTCCTTTGGTGATAATAGCATTGATATATTCAGGGTGGTCAAATCTGGCTTCAATCCATTGTCCTTTGTCCATTGTCTTGGGCATCCAAGCTCCGATGTTGACTTTATCGGAAACTGCATCAATATTAGATCTCTGTGGTCCTGCATACTCAGAGAGGCTGGAGGATGCACTAAGATGATTGTCCGGAACTTCAAGCGCAGCAGTGTTGGTCATTGGATTAGGGCAGACTGAAGGAGAGAAATAGTTTTATTCAAACTATGAAACACGTGCTGAGATGTGTGGCAGACATGAAAGATGAGTTATTTATACAATGCAGATATTTTCAAAAAATACTTACTAAGCACAGGTGTTGTGGTTTGGCTAACAACTGCTGTTGTCTGCATGCCTGGGGCTACACTGGATGATGATCCAAACACTGGAAGATGTGGAAGAAATATGTAGCTTTAATACTGAGCCTAGAATTTAGTGGGATACAACTAAATCTCGATGAAAAGTAGACGTATAATCAATTATATACATAACACCATGAAGAAGAGACGGTGATTACTCATACCTGGACTGGCTGTTGGGAGACCACTCTGTCCTGCACTTGGACTGGCTGTTGGCTGACCACTCTGTCCTGCAACTGGACTGGCTGTTGGAACACCGCTCGTTCCTGTTACACCTGGACTAGCGGTTGGCTGACCACTCTGTCCTGCACTTGGACTGGCTGTTGGCTGACCACTTTCCCCTAAGCCTGGAGTAGCTGTTGGCTGACCACTCTGTCCTGCACTTGGACTGGCTGTTGGTTGACCGCTCTTTTGTGTTACACCTGGAATAGCTGTGGGCAGACCACTCTGTCCTGCACTTGGACTCGCTGTTGGAATACCGCTCTTTCCTGTAACACCTGGAGTAGCTGTTGGAAGACCACTCTGTCCTGCACTTGGACTGGCTGTTGGAACACCGCTCTTTCCTGTTACACCTGGTGGGCCGGCTGTTGGCTGACCACTTTCCCCTATACCTGGACTAGCTGTTGGTTGACCACTCTGTCCTGCACTTGGACTCGCTGTTGGAATACCGCTCTTTCCTGTAACACCTGGAGTAGCTGTTGGAACACCGCTCTTTCCTACAACACCTGGTGGACCGGCTGTTGGAAGACCACTCTGTCCTGCACTTGGACTGGCTGTTGGTTGACCGCTCTTTCCTGTAACACCTGGTGGGCCGGCTGTTGGCTGACCACTTTCCCCTATAACTGGAGTAGCTGTTGGTTGACCACTCTGTCCTGCACTTGGACTTGCTGTTGGAACACCGCTCTTTCCTGTAACACCTGGACTAGCTGTTGGAAGACCACTCTGTCCTGCACTTGGACTGGCTGTCGGAACACCGCTCTTTCCTGTTACACCTGGACTAACGGTTGGCTGACCACTCTGTCCTGCACTTGGACTGGCTGTTGGAACACCGCTCTTTCCTGTTACACCTGGACTGACTGTTGGCTGACCACTCTGTCCTGCACTAGGACTGGCTGTTGGTTGACCGCTCTTTCGTGTTACACCTGGACTAGCTGTTGGCTGACCACTGACTCCACCACTAGGAGATGCTGTAGGCAGACCACTCTGTCCTGCACTTGGACTGGCTGTTGGAACACCGCTCTTTCCTGTTACACCTTGACTGGCTGTTGGAAGTCCGCTCTGTCCTGCACTAGGACTGGCTGTTGGGAGGCCGCTCTGTGCTGCACTAGGGCTGACTGATGGTTGTCCAAGAATACTTGGTGTACCCGTGGGGAGACCAGTCTGTCCTACTACTGGGCTGGCAGTTGGAAGGCCACTCTGTCCTACGGTCGGACTGGCTGTTGGTACTTTAGAACAATCAACACCCTTTGGCTCACACAACACTCTTACTTCATAATCAAAACATGTGCCTCCTACCATCTGCTTAGTGTTACTGCACATAAGACCGCTGTATTTCATATCGCATGTTACACCAACCTGGCCAGATTCCGAGGCGGATTTATGTGTGTTGCTGTCTCTGCATTCTAAAGCTGTGATATCTTCAGTGTGGCAAAATTGGAACTGTTGTCTGAGATTTGCAAGCAATTCCATTTCACCAGTATTGTCAGGTGTGTTACTATTCATCCACTTTGTCCATCCGCAGACAGTTGGCACCGCAGTTGGAAGACCAGTCTGTCCTATACCTGGGGTGATAGTGGGAAGACCGCTTTGTCCTGCACTTGGACTGGCTGTTGGAACACCGCTCTTTCCCGTAACACCTGGGCTGGCTGTGGGAAGACTACTCTGTCCTGCACTTGGACTGGCTGTTGGTTGACCGCTCTTTCCTGTAACACTTGGACTGGCTGTTGGAACACCGCTCTTTCCCGTAACACCTGGGCTGGCTGTGGGAAGACCACTCTGTCCTGCACTTGGACTGGCTGTTGGTTGACCGCTCTTTCCTGTAACACCTGGACTTGCTGTGGGAACACCACTCTGTCCTGCACTTGGGCTGGCTGTTGGGAGGCCACTTGGTCCAATGCTTGGCTGTGCAGTAGGTAAAGTGGAACAGTCGCAGAACACTCTCATTTCGTAGTCAAGACACTTTCCATCAATTTGTTTCAGATTGTTACACCGGAGACCACGTATTGCATCACACGTGATCGACTGACCAGCCGCAGATGCCATCTGTTTGGTACCTGCTACTCTGCATTCAACCCGCTTCATCATATCGTGACTGCAGACGGTGGTTTTGGTCATAAGAGAAGCAATTGATTCGATATCACCTTCGAATGGCTTATTGGGAACAATAACATCGGGATGATCAGAGTTAGTCCACGCCGACCATCCACAGAATGGAGGTGAAACTGTTGGTTGACCAGATTGTCCGCTTGGGGAGGCAGTTGGCTGGCCGGTTTGTCCGCTTGGGGAGGCAGTTGGTTGACCAGATTGTCCGCTTGGGGAGGCAGTTGGCTGGCCGGTTTGTCCGCTTGGGGAGGCAGTTGGTTGACCAGATTGTCCGCTTGGGGAGGCAGTTGGTTGACCAGATTGTCCGCTTGGGGAGGCAGTTGGCTGGCCGGTTTGTCCGCTTGGGGAGGCAGTTGGTTGACCAGATTGTCCGCTTGGGGAGGCAGTTGGCTGGCCGGTTTGTCCGCTTGGGGAGGCAGTTGGTTGACCAGATTGTCCGCTTGGGGAGGCAGTTGGCTGGCCGCTTTGTCCGCTTGGGGAGGCAGTTGGTTGACCAGATTGTCCGCTTGGGGAGGCAGTTGGGAGTCCAGATTGTCCGCTTGGGGAGGCAGTTGGGAGTCCTGATGGTCTAGTTGATGGAGATACGGTTGCTGAAATCACAAATTAGTGTTATTAAGAGTCATAACATCTTCCTCATTTCATTATCTGTATGTTACCCATCAAGTATTCAACACATATTAGAATACATAACCACGAACATCATTGACAACCATTAGAAAAATAAATTGGTCAAACATGAAAAGTGATAACTGTCAAATATGGACTCACATGCACATGGACAATAGAAGCGGACCTCGTAGTCCCCGCATTTGCCACTGTTCTCCCAGTTGTAGCAGGTGAAACCAGTTGTGAGGTCACAGGATACCTTCTGTCCATACTCCATTGCTGTAGTCTTAGTGGATACTTCACGGCATTCAATGCTCAGTGGATGAGCACAGAAGGAGTTGGTGGTTCTCAGCTTCAGAATCGATTCTATATCACCATCGCCAGTTGTTGGCTTGTCAACGTTGATCCAGTTGGTCCAATGACATTCTGGTTGAATGGTTGGCTGAACAGACGGTCCTGCTGTAGGGACGCAGCTTTCATCCTTTGTGCAGGCTTCAGCATTGTTGAAGCAGTGGCACATTGAACACTCATCAAGTGGGTTCTTGTAGAACTCGAAGGGCTGAACAACAAATATACTTAGATGTTTTACGTATGCATAGCGGTATTTTTGGAGCCACATGCTTCAATTGTTAATGAACTGACCATTTGATATTCTTTTGTTGGTGTGGGGGCAAAGAGAGGCTGGGATTTTATCGAAATGGAAATTAGAACTAGTATTTTAGAAGCTTACATGTAATATTGTTTTTAATTTGGCCTTATTTTACACATGGCAAATTTAACAATGTGTCTTCATGATGAATAACATCATAAATCTTTTTGTTTCTGTTTGGATAATGTTATGCTGTTTCGAGTCAAGACACTTTTCCTTACAACTGCCTCATTGACTTTTTTAAAGGTGTCAAAAACGCACGATGACTCAAATGACGCATATCAGAGAATGGAATCCTACCTTAGCAATTGTACCATCTGGTTTCTTGCATGGGCAGAGCTCTGCCTTCAGACATTGGCCATTGTAATTGAGTCTCTCGCCATCAGCACATTTAGGAACGGTGATTGTCTCATCTTTGCAGCCTGGAACACATTGTTGAGGGTTTGTGCCGTCACAGATATCCCCAGACACAGCGTTGCAGAGTTGGTCACAGGTGTGAGCACAGGCATTCCACATCTCTCCAGGAGGACACACAGCTGGGAAGACAAATTATTCCACATTCAACTGAATAATCCCCGCTACTGTCATTCCAGAAGGATCTGGGTTCCGTAAAAGCATACTGTGGATTTGCATGGTGAATAAATTAATGGATATTTGAAAAAGGGCCATCTGCCAAGTATCAGTAAGGACAATCTTCAGGTTGGGGATCATTCATGGATCATATAGCGTTATATTCCCAATACTGAAAGGCCACAGGTCCATAGGACAAGTACCGTATTACAATTTATATGAGGAGATTACTCAGATTTCTTTCTAAGGTACTTTCTAACATGGCATGATAAATAAACATTGATAAGTCATGTAATATGCGATCTACAATTTAGATAAAAAAGAGTCAAGCTATATTGCCTCCCCAAGGACTCTATGTAAATTATTTGCGACCATTTAAATGTAGGTTTACATAGGAGGCGATATTTTGCGCCCAGCAGCCGCTTCCTCTGTGAATCAACATACCAGTCGTCGTTCTCTCCAGGGGAGCAACGGTCGTGTGTATGTATGAACTGCCTGTGACATGAGTTGACACGTGGACGACGCCTGTAGTGTGGATGTGGGGAGCACCTGTTGGACCTGCAGTTGGTATTGGACCTGGAGAACGGAACAGTTAATACTGAAAAATTGGATCATGATATCACAATAATATGCTTGCTTACAATTCTAGCATGTGGGTTGGTGTTATTTTCTTTATAGGCGATCTAAGATTTAGACCCGTAAAGAAACATATAACAGTTATAACAGAATATATAACGCCAAAGCCAGAGAATAACCAGTAATAATTACATGAATGGGTCACTGAAAATCAGTGATGTGCAACGGGAGTTTTGGAAGAAATGAAGGAAATTTGACTCCTTGTGTATATGTACCCTTGCATGTGTCTTCCCAACAGAGAACCCTAACTTCATAGTCGTAACACTTGGAAGACAGCTGCTCGTTGTTGTAGCAACGAAGACCATTGTCCACATCACAGGTGACTCTGCTCTGACCAGCCGCACTTGACATCGTGTTTGTGCCAGCAATTCTGCACTCGATCTGCTTCATGTTCTTGCAGACGCCATGCTTAGTCTTGATGGAGTCAATGGTTTCCATGTCACCATGGCCTGAGTCTGGAGTGTCAATGTTGATCCACGGAGACCAGTCACATCGGATAGCAAGCATCTTGTTGGGTGGTGTTAATGTCACCTGCGGAGTTCCTGGAAAGAAAATAATGGAATAAAGCTCATAGGCATTTACATTGACATATAAATGTTGTTGCCAACTGTAATGAGAGAGTGAGTGAGTGAAAGAGTGAGTGAGTGTTTTGAGGAGATTTGAAAATGTATATTATGGCGTGTCAGCCTAATGTGAGAGGAAAAACACCGAACTGATGCATACCTCAGACGTTTACCACTTTGGTGAAACCCACGGGTATGGTGCTGACAAACATGGAAACAGAATCGGGTCGAATCGGATTAGAACCCACGATCATAGGTTTCTGGCGTGCCCAAGGGGCACACCTCTGTACAGCGAATTGCAGCGTCTTAGACGACTGGAGCTCTCCCGTGCCCCCTGACACTGTAATATGTGTAATTAATATATGTTATTTTTAGATCAAAATTCAGATAACTCACCACTACAGTCGCAGAAATAGCGGACCTTGTAGTCGGAGCATGGCACTGGGGCATTGTCTGCGTTGTTGCAAGTGAGGCCATTCTTCAGGTCGCAAGTTAAGAGTTCTCCAGAGCTGTAGGATGGGATATCGTTAGTATAACATTCAATCTTGGTAATCTGGCCTCCCTTACAGAATGAAGACAACTCATCAGGAGTCATGAATTCATGGTCTCCATTTCCTGACTCTGGCAAGTCTCTGTTCACCCAGTTGGAGAAATGACTTTGGGAACAAGATGTGACAGTGGGGACTGCTGTTGGTTGACGACTCAATCCGGCACTTGGACTGGCTGTTGGAACACCACTCTCTCCTGTAACGCCTGGGCTGGCTGTGTGAAGGCCACTCTGTCCTGCACTTGGACTGGCTGTTGGCTGACCACTTAGTCCTGTAACACCTGGGCTGGCTGTTGGAAGACCACTCTGTCCTGCACTTGGAATGGCTGTTGGAACACCGCTCTTTCCTGTAACAACTCGCATGGCTGTGGGATGACCACCAGTTTGTCCTAAGATGGGGCTGGGTGTTGGTGTACCTGCTGTACCTGTAGGGGGTGAAGCAGTTGGTGCACATTGGCAGTAGTATATGATCTTGTAGTCACTACATGGCATTGGGAAGTTGTCTTCATTTCTACAGATGACACCTTGTTTTTTGTCGCAGGTCATAATTTCACCACTACTGTAGGACGGGATATCATCAACAGTTTCACATTTGACTTCAGTAATTTTTCCTCCTGGACACAATTTGGTTAACTCATCAGATGTCATTGATTCATAATCGCCATCCCCAACATTTGGATTATCTCTGTTGATCCACGAAGACCACTTGCTGTTGGTACACTGTATTTCAGGACCAGCAGAAGGAACACCTGTGCCAGATGGTGGTGGTGTGGCTGTTGGAAGGCTTGTTTGGGCGGGTACAGGGCTAGCTGTTGGTTTAGGGCAGTCACAGTAGTAACGAGCCTCATAATCACTGCACTTGATTGGAAAATTGTCCTGATTCTTACAGAGAGCACCATTAGAAAGATCACACGTCATAATGTCCCCGCTGCTGTAATATTCTATGCCATCGGTTGTTCTACATTCTATCTTGGCAAGCCTTCCTCCAGCACAATACTGAGACATTTGGCTTCCTGTTAGTATCTCATGGTCGCCCTCTCCAGTTGTGGGTTTGTCATTGTTCACCCAAGGGGTCCATTGCGACTTTGTGCAAGATGTTGTCCCAGGAGCTGACGTTGGTGTACCACTTCCTCCAATTCCAGGGCTGGCAGTTGGTGTGCCGCTTCCCCCAATTCCGGGACTGGCAGTTGGTGTACCACTTCCTCCAATTCCGGGGCTAGCAGTTGGTGTGCCGCTTCCTCCAATTCCGGGGCTGGCAGTTGGTGTGCCGCTTCCTCCAATTCCAGGGCTGGCAGTTGGTGTACCACTTCCTCCAATTCCGGGGCTGGCAGTTGGTGTACCACTTTCTCCAATTCCGGGGCTAGCAGTTGGTGTGCCACTTCCACCAATTGCGGGGCTGGCAGTTGGTGTGACACTTCCTCCGATTCCTGGAGCTCCGGTGGTTACTGATGTCGTACAGTCACAGAAGTATCGGATCTTGTAATCACTGCAAGGCATTGGGAAATTATCAGCATTGTTGCAAGTGGATCCACCTGCCATTGTACACTGCATTACTTCACCGCTGCTGTAGTATTCGATACCATCGACTGTCATGCACTCAATCTTGGTGAGTGTTCCTCCAGAGCAGTATTGTTTCTGCAGCTCTGGTGTGATCTTCTCGTAGTCTCCTCCACCAACGCCAGGTTTGTCCTGGTTGATCCAAGAACTCCACTGACTAGTTGTACAGGTGGCCGCAGAAGGAACCTCTGTGCCAGATGTTGGAGGTTTGGCTGTTGGTGTACCTTAACAGAAGATGAGACATAATCAACAGACTGCCTTACTTTACATCGTTTTCATTGGTTTATATCTATGCTGATAATATATCCATGTTATATCCCATACAGATTTACAATCACATTTCAATGCTTGAGTGATACAGAAATGAATATGAACAAAATGCCTTATCAGAAGAAAAAAATGATGGCTATACGACAAAAACATAAAATTGATGAAAGAAACTGAAAGAAACAGTTTGCTTACTCTCACACTTGCACTTGAATCTAAGTTTGTAGTCATGACACTTCATTGGTGTGTTGTCACTGTGCTTGCAGGATAGTCCAGTTTGAGCATCACATTTGACAATATCACCACTGAGATAGTAAGCCATGTTGTCCGAAACTGTGTCGCACTCGACCTCCCCTACAGAGCCACCAGCGCAGTGTCTGTCAAGGTCTTCTTTCGTCACCTTTTCAGTCTCACCTGAAACAATTATATAATTCACATGAATGAAGTAGCACCGCCAGTGGTTAAAATGTTGGCTCATCACACCAAGCACACGGATTCGATAACAAACTTTTACAAATGATGAAGCACATTTCTTGTTTGCATGGTGATGTGGTTGGAGAATATTAAAAAGCAATTTAAAACGCTCACAGTCCTAAAGCAATTATAAGTAGCTCGTGATTCTTTCGGGACAATAGCTGGAAAATGTCAACTCTGTACCTACCGAAGTAAGACTTAGTCAAATATCGATTATGTGAATAGCAAATGTTAAATACTGAATACCCCAAGGTCCATTGCATAGACTCTTTTGCCGCACGAATGACTGATATGAACAGTGTATACTCACCGACAGCATCAGGTTCGTGTCTGTTGATCCAGTCGGACCACTTGTTGTCACATGTCTTGGGGACAGCAGTGGGGATGCTAGGATTTGCTGATGGGGCTGCTGTAGGCTTGCTGCATTCATCACAGAAGACTCTTATTTCATAGTCGGAGCAAGTTTTGCCTCCTTTCTGGTCGGTGTTCATACAGACAAGGGATTTGGTGTCAAGGTTACACATGACTCCTGTTTCTCCAGTCTGGTCAAACGGTATTTTGGCAGCAGCTGTTCTACATTCCATTTTCTTGACGTACTTGGTGTCACAGATCTTCACTACGGTCATCATGTCCCAGAACGACTCATACTCGCCGTTGGTATCTGGAGTGTTGGAGTTGACCCAGGGTGTCCAGTACATGCAGGAGGAGGTAGATGGGGCGGTCGTGAAAACAGGTCCGACTGTGGGACCAGCTGTTGGAATAGCTGTTGGAATAGCTGTTGGCACTGTCAGTCCAGTTGGTACGGATGGGGTGGCAGAAGGAAGCTGGCATCCGTAGACATTGAACCTCATTCCGATAGCTTCATGCCATTCCACTGGTCGGATTCTTATGAAACGTGCATTGATTTCAGCGAAGACGTTCATGAGTGGGGTGTTACGATCAAAGTTACCCTCGAATACACGTGGAACTGTGTCTGTTGGAGCAGGGTAGATTGCGTTGAACGTACGCCCATCGTTGCTGTAGTAGACCTCGTACTTGGTCACCCAAGTTGCACCATCAGATCGTCCTTGAGTAGAAACCCCCGCTATTGCATAGCTTGCACCGAAGTCAACCTCGATCCACTGTTTGGTATCTGTGTATCTGCATATACACAATCATAATATATCAGGCACATTCTGTTAGTTTTGATCTATCCAGGAGGGGCCTATGAAGTCGAGTCATTACATTAGTAGTATATATATAGCATTATGTGTATAAAAGGATATATCCAATTACAGTTGCAGTTTAGACGTTGACAACTTTGCGGGACCTTTGGAAATGCAACACATGTATCATCCCATTTTGAATATGTACTGTTTATAAGTTGAAATGTTTGAACCGAACATAACAGAAATAAAAGTGGGCAGTAAATACAAAGTAATGCACATGCTGATACCGTTTGAGAAGCATGTCTAACTCATTTCTTTGTCAGGGTGGTGGTATAGCTAATTAGTCAAAGTATTCGCTTGTCACGACGAAGGAACGGGTTTGATTCCCCACATGGGTACAAGATGTGAAGTCCATTTCTGATGTAACCAGCCGTCATATTGTTGGAATATTCTAACAGCGACGACACAAAAACACACTCTCTCATTCTTTTATTTATGTTATTAGACTCACTTTGGAATCCATCCTCCCGAATAAGATCCATCCTTCTGAGTATAGGGCCGTGCGCGCTCGGCACCGGTGAACTCGTTGAGGGAGGAAGATGCTGTGAGTTGTCTGTCACCAATGAGACCGGGGTTTTGGATTCCCATGGGAACATCACATTCTGAAAACATAAACACCTTGCATGAACATATCTGAACTAACTCTTATAACTGCCATAGATCGGAAATAAGAGACTTCAAGATCAGTGATTTCCCATGATGTGTATAACATGTCCTAACTTACTGAGGAAGGGTCCTGGCGTAGACTGTCCACTAGGAGGTGAGGCTGTTGGAACACCAGGAACAGGTGTTTGTGGCTTGGGCTCTGGTGGTGTGCATCCAAGGATATTGAATCGCATGGCAATGCCATCCTTTGACCACTCCACTGGAACGATGCGGACATACTGTGCAGTGATGTCACGGTTGAAGAGGTTCCTAATGGGTGTGCTTTTATCCATGTTACCTTCAAAAATGGCTGGTGTTGACTCTCCAGGGATAGTTGTGTATGGGAAAAAGTCGTTCCCGTTAAATCCAAGGAAGACATTGTATTTCGTAACCCATTTAGGAGCTTCGGGACTACCTTGTGTCATCACTCCAGAGATAAGAGTTGGTTTCAGGAAATTCACTTGAAGCCATTGCTTTTCATTTGATCTAAAGAAAAGAGTTCTTGTTACAATAAACGAATATGCTTACTTAATCACATATGCTAAATACATAATTGGGTTCAATCTATGGTTGATTTATAGACAAAAACGAGGTAGAAACATCTGATAAAATTGACTCAATAATCTAAAAACAACCAAGAGTTAATTACACATAGGATTACAGTATGCATATAAAGTATGTGCATCAATACTAACGATGGGCTCCATGCTCCCTTGGTGTTGTATAAACGTCCTACTGATGCAGAATGTTTGGCATCAAGAGATGATGAAGATGTGAGCTGGCTGTTGCTGACAAAGTAGGAGTTTTCGATACCCATTGGGATGAGACACACTGAAAAGATTATTTGAATTTGTTTATCATAGAATGAAGTGGGGGACAAAGACTCGAAAGCGAATCCAAAAGGTGTTTGAGGTAAGAGTCCTGTCCTACAGGTAGCTCCCCACCACTCAAACAAAGTAACCCAGATTGACACAGAAGAGATGTAACCAAGAGTTACATTTAAACCACATTTATAAGAGGCTCTTAACTCTTCCTCCCCTCACAAATGGTAAGAAGATATGCAGGATACATTATAACAACCTACCTGATTGTGTCGTGACTTCAGGGACTGGGCTGGCTGTTGGCAAAAGACTCTGTTCAATGCCTGGGCTAGCTGTTGGCTGACTACTTTGCCCAGGAACTGGACTGGCTGTAGGGGCAAGGCACTCACAGAAGTAGCGGATCTTGTAGTCACTGCATGGTATGGGCATGTTGTCAGCATTATTGCAAGTTGACCCGGTTGTCAGTAAGCACTTCATGACTTCTCCACTGCTGAAATATTCAATATCATCTACTGTTTGACAGTCAATCTTTGTGAGTTTCCCACCAGAGCAGTACTGTTGTTGCTGTTCTGGTGTGATCTTCTCATAGTCTCCTTTACCAGTATCAGGCGTGTCCTTGTTGATCCATGGGGTCCAGTGGCTGGTTTTGCAGGATGATGTAGGGGGACTTGCTGTGGGTACACCGCTCTGTCCACCGAGTGGTGGACTAGCTGTTGGAGTTCCTGGTCCAGCTGTCGTTGGTATTAATGGATTAGCTGGGGATGGATTGCAGCCGAGGATGTTGAACCTGAGGGATGTCACTCCATGAGACGTCACTGGAACAATACGGACGAAACGTGCAATGATATCTCTGTTGAAAAGGACAGGAACTGGAGTTTTGGAGTCAGAGTTGCCATTGAACACCTTGGCGGGCTTGCCTCCAGTGCCAGTGTAGTCAGTGAAAGTTTTGCCATCGAAGCTGTATCTGACTGTGTAGGTCTCAACCCAACCGTTGTCCTTTCCAGATCCCTGGGTTATGACGCCAGAGATAGTTTTGGGCTCCAGAAAATCTACCTGAATCCAAGGTGTCTTATCTGTGGGTCTGTAACCAAAATTGTACACGCATGAATGTGGATTTGTAAATGAGTAACTTGTCTGAAAATACCTTCATACATAAATCTGCTGGTGTGTGCTGTTTTACAAACAAAGTGTTACTTTCCTTAACAGCAATCCACATTTTAGGTAACAGTTATTAAAGTTTTCTATTCAAATCAACACCGTTATACATTGACTTGAAGGGACTGAGCTATCTAACTCTGTTTGTATCAATCCACTTGAACAAATGATGGCACAGACAATGTTGACTTACGCTGGGACCCAGGATCCAGCAAATTCATCCGTTCCTTGGTTGATTCGTGCATAGATTGAACCATGTGCCTTGTCCTTCTCTGATGAAGCAGTCAACTGACTTTCACCAACAATCCTGTAGTTTTCCACTCCCATTGGAACAGTGCAGACTAGAAAACATCGATATTATTTTTCTATCGAAGGTGGAGGCAGAAATGATAAATACAATGATACTAATCTTCTAGGTTATGGTCGTTAGGAATACAATCCGATGGTTTTGTCAAATCTGGAGTTCGTCTTGCTACTGATATCATTGCATTACTAATACTTCAAAAGTTCTCAAAAGTATTACTGCGGCATTCGACAACATTCATCCACACATTGACACACCATAGTTTATCATCCCTTTTACATATACATATCTTTTGAAAATGATACACTTGTATTAAGAATGGTTTTAGGAATAATCTGTTCTGGAGGTTAAATCATTTGTCATACGTCTCTGAAGATGTGCAGTCATATTTTTGATGTGATCACAATGCTAACGTGATATGAGAGATTTCTTGAAGTACAGATACTTAATTGGTGTGTGAGGCACTCACCAGGTTCCAGCGTTGACACCGGTGATGGCTCGGGCATAGTAACTCCGGTTGTCACAGTGAACTCAGGGGCAACTGTTGGCTTGGCCGTAGGAGTCGCTGTGGGTGTAATACTTGGCTTGTAGCAGCCAAGCATATTGAAACGCATTCCAATGCCAGCTTGGGACCAGGCGACGGGAGTGATCTTGATGTATTGAACAGTCACCTGTTGAGGGAAGATGTTCTTCATGATGGTGTTCCGGTCGCTGTTGCCAGTAAAGATCATACTCTTCCCTGTCGCCGAGTCTTTAATAGGAATGAAGGTGAAGCCGTCCGTACTGTATGACACGATGAATTGTGTAACCCATTTGTCACTGATGGGGCTTCCTTGGGTCAAGATACCATTGATGACCTGTGGCTTCAGGAAATTCACCATTATCCACTGGTCACCGTTGTTGACTCTGTTCAAATGCAAATTATTTGATATGAGAAATTCTCTCAAGCTTAAAATCTTCTCAAAGATTATGTCTGATAAAATCCAAGGATGATTATTAACTATGAGGAAAGCTGTAGCGATCACAGAATATAAATGGTTATGTTTTTTTAATTTGATACAATATCTACTAACTTAGGTGACCATGCTCCAAATTCGTTGAAGAGACGTCCAGCAGGAGCAGTGAATCTGTTGCCACTAAATCCTGATGCTGTGATCTGAGTGTCCTTGACAGTTAATGCGTTGTCTATTCCCATTGGTTGACTGCACACGACACCTGTGAATGAAATGTATTTCAGTAACAAAACAAGTGTATAGCACAAGATAATGACATATTTGACATTCATATGCTTTTACACAAGAGTAGATATCAGACACTTACCGGACGACACTCCTGGTGGGACAGCAGTTGGGCTTCCAGAGACACCTGGTGGGACGGCAGTTGGGCTTCCAGAGACACCTGGTGGGATGGCAGTTGGGCTTCCGGAGATTCCAGTCTTGGGTGAAGCAGTTGGGCTTCCAGAGACACCTGGTGGGACGGCAGTTGGGCTTCCAGAGACACCTGGTGGGACGGCGGTTGGACTTCCAGAGACACCTGGTGGGACGGCAGTTGGGCTTCCAGAGACACCTGGTGGGACTGCAGTTGGACTTCCAGAGACACCTGGTGGGACGGCAGTTGGGCTTCCAGAGACACCTGGGGGGCGGGCAGTTGGACTTCCAGAGATACCTGGTGGGACGGCAGTTGGGCTTCCAGAGACACCTGGTGGGACGGCGGTTGGACTTCCGGAGATTCCAGTCTTGGGTGAAGCAGTTGGGCTTCCAGAGACACCTGGTGGGACGGCAGTTGGGCTTCCAGAGACACCTGGTGGGACGGCAGTTGGGCTTCCAGAGACACCTTGTGGGACGGCGGTTAGGCTACCGGAGACACCTGGTTGGACGGCAGTTGGACTTTCAGAGACACCTGGTGGAACGGCAGTTGTGCTTCCTGAGATTCCAGTCTTGGGAGTTGGAATTCCAGAGATTCCAGCCTTGGGTGAAGGAGTTGGGCTTCCAGAGACACCTGGTGGGACGGCAGTTGGGCTTCCAGAGACACCTGGTGGGACGGCGGTTGGACTTCCGGAGATTCCAGTCTTGGGTGAAGCAGTTGGGCTTCCAGAGACACCTGGTGGGACGGCAGTTGGGCTTCCAGAGACACCTGGTGGGACGGCAGTTGGGCTTCCAGAGACACCTGGTGGGACGGCGGTTAGGCTACCGGAGACACCTGGTTGGACGGCAGTTGGACTTTCAGAGACACCTGGTGGAACGGCAGTTGTGCTTCCTGAGATTCCAGTCTTGGGAGTTGGAATTCCAGAGATTCCAGCCTTGGGTGAAGGAGTTGGGCTTCCAGAGACACCTGGTGGGACGGCAGTTGGGCTTCCAGAGACACCTGGTGGGACGGCAGTTCGGCTACCAGTGACACCTTGTGGGACGGCAGTTGGGCTTCCAGAGACACCTGGTGGGACGGCAGTTCGGCTACCAGTGACACCTGGTGGGACAGCAGTTGGACTTCCAGAGACACCAGGTGGGGCAATAGTGGCTGGTCCACTTGTGAGCCCTGAGCATGATAGAATATCAAAACGGAGAGCAATCATGCCATTCCATTCCTGGGGCTGGATTCTAACATATCTGGCAATTATTTCCCTGTCAAACAAACCTCTGACCTGAGTATTTCTGTCTGAATTGCCATTGAATACAACTGTGGCCGTTTCCCCACTCCTGGTGTAAGGAGTAAAGTCAATTCCATCTATACTGGTAAGGACAGTGTATTTTGTGACCCAGTGATCCATGGATGGTCGTCCCTGTGTTACCACTCCAGTGATGAACTCAGGATGTTTGAGGTCAACTTGTATCCATTGCTCTTTGTCGTTCATTCTGAAACAAAGGATGATAAAAATAAGACTCTTTCCTTGTGATCAAGCGATCAGCAACTGCCACAAATACCACTATCACGTACCAAAATGTATGGCAATCGTTCGTACCCCTGGAACAAGCTCAGCCTTCACATTAGATCACAGAAACAGTTACGTCGTCCCTCCTCAACGTCGTCAAGACCAGCCTTGATGTTTGATAAACTGACATTTTTCACGAGCTAAATATCTGTATGTATGTATTGTGTGTATAAGACACACAGAGATAAAGGAATATTAACGCCCGCAATTAACAACATACAAACATAAATCTAAACGAAAACTTTAACCATGAAGACTTGCCCACAATAATAAAACTATAGTTTCTTTAACATATACCTTGGCATCCATGCTCCTGCAAGGTTTCCTTCTTTGGCTGTATCCAAACGTCCCCTATCTGCCTCAAAACTGTAGTCGAAAGATGTGGAAGAAGAAAACTGGTCCCTTCCAAAAAGATCACGATTTCCAGTGCCCATTGGGATGTCACACACTGTAGAGAAACATTACATGGTATTCAACGTTTTAAGCGGTTAAAAGTTTAAAAGTTAGTTTTGCAAAGCAACGAATTATGTTGACCAAAATGCAAGGATGATGATATTGAGTTAATCACTTTGCCAAATTTTACTCTCACCTTTCTTTGTGATGGTAATTGTGTTTTCAGAAGTAGTGTATATAGCTGTTGTCTTGGTAACAGGCAGATATGACGGGGAAGCTGTTGGGACCACAGTGTGTGGCTTGGCACTTGGGGAATTGTTGATAGCATGGTCTGGTCCAGGCGTTGGCTGACCACTGACTCCACCACTAGGAGATGCTGTAGGCAGACCACTCTGTCCTGCACTTGGACTGGCTGTTGGAACACCGCTCTTTCCTGTAACACCTGGACTAGCTGTTGGAAGACCACTCTGTCCTGCACTTGGACTGGCTGTTGGTTGACCGCTCTTTCCTATAACACCTGGTGGGCCGGCTGTTGGCTGACCACTTTCCCCTATACCTGGAATAGCTGTGGGAAGACCGCTCTGTCCTGCACTTGGACTGGCTGTTGGTTGACCGCTCTTTCCTGTAACACCTGGTGGGCCGGCTGTTGGCTGACCACTTTCCCCTATACCTGGACTAGCTGTTGGTTGACCACTCTGTCCTGCACTTGGACTCGCTGTTGGAATACCGCTCTTTCCTGCAACACCTGGAGTAGCTGTTGGAAGACCACTCTGTCCTGCAGTTGGACTCGCTGTTGGAACACTGCTCTTTCCTACAACACCTGGTGGGCCGGCTGTTGGAAGACCACTCTGTCCTGCACTTGGACTCGCTGTTGGAATACCGCTCTTTCCTGCAACACCTGGAGTAGCTGTTGGAAGACCACTCTGTCCTGCACTTGGACTCGCTGTTGGAACACTGCTCTTTCCTACAACACCTGGTGGGCCGGCTGTTGGAAGACCACTCTGTCCTGCACTTGGACTCGCTGTTGGAATACTGCTCTTTCCTGTAACACCTGGAGTAGCTGTTGGAAGACCACTCTGTCCTGCACTTGGACTCGCTGTTGGAACACTGCTCTTTCCTACAACACCTTGTGGGCCGGCTGTTGGAAGACCACTCTGTCCTGCACTTGGACTGGCTGTTGGTTGACCGCTCTTTCCTGTAACACCTGGTGGGCCGGCTGTTGGCTGACCACTTTCCCCTATACCTGGACTAGCTGTTGGTTGACCACTCTGTCCTGCACTTGGACTCGCTGTTGGAATACCGCTCTTTCCTGTAACACCTGGACTAGCTGTTGGTTGACCACTCTGTCCTGCACTTGGACTCGCTGTTGGAATACCGCTCTTTCCTGTAACACCTGGAGTAGCTGTTGGAAGACCACTCTGTCCTGCACTTGGACTGGCTGTTGGTTGACCGCTCTTTCCTGTAACACCTGGAGTAGCTGTTGGAAGACCACTCTGTCCTGCACTTGGACTCGCTGTTGGAACACCGCTCTTTCCTACAACACCTGGTGGGCCGGCTGTTGGAAGACCACTCTGTCGAGCACTTGGACTCGCTGTTGGAATACCGCTCTTTCCTGTAACACCTGGGGTAGCTGTTGGTTGACCACTCTGTCCTGCACTTGGACTCGCTGTTGGAACAACGCTCTTTCCTACAACACCTGGAGTAGCTGTTGGAAGACCACTCTGTCCTGCACTTGGACTGGCTGTTGGTTGACCGCTCTTTCCTATAACACCTGGTGGGCCGGCTGTTGGCTGACCACTTTCCCCTATACCTGGAGTAGCTGTTGGTTGACCACTCTGTCCTGCACTTGGACTTGCTGTTGGAACACCGCTCTTTCCTGTAACACCTGGAGTAGCTGTTGGAAGACCACTCTGTCCTGCACTTGGGCTTGCTGTTGGTTGACCACTCTGCCCAGTTACTGGGCTGGCTGTTGGCTGACCACTTTGTCCTGGAAATCCTGGGGAAGTAGTTGGAAGACCACTTGGAGCTGCGCTTGGGGCGGCAGTTGGTACAAGTGCTGCACAAAATACATATGTTAGATTAAGATATCACATATATCTGTCAATTACATTCTCGAGACATCTGTTGTTAATAAGAGACACGACTGAATGTAAGTACAGAGGTATTTTCAATGTTGCAAACAACTGATGCTTACCACAGACTTGACAGAAGTATCTAATTTGGTAGTCTTGGCAGTTTAGTGGTGTATTTTCGGCGTTGAGACACGTGAATCCCTTCTTCAGATCACATTGTGTGACCTCTCCAGTGGAGAATGAATAGGCTTGTGTGCCAAGTCCGAAACATTGGAGGTCGGTAATCTCCCCACCAGAGCAGAATGCAAATTTATTGTTCAAATCCTCGTGTGAAACATGCTCATGGTCCCCTCCACCTGTTGAAGGCTTGTCACGGTTGAACCACTGAGACCAATATGATGCACAAGTTGTTACGACTTGAGGTAGGGCAGTGGGCTTAAAACTCTGTCCTGCACTTGGACTGGCCGTGGGAAGACCGCTGAATCCTGTTACACCTGGGCTGGCTGTTGGTTGACCACCCTGCCCTGCACTTGGACTGGCTGTTGGTTGACCGCTCTTTCCTGTAACATCTGGGCTGGCTGTTGGAAGACCGCTCTGTCCTGCACTTGGACTGGCCGTGGGAAGACCGCTGAATCCTGTTACACCTGGGCTTGCTGTTGGTTGACCACCCTGCCCTGCACTTGGACTGGCTGTTGGTTGACCGCTCTTTCCTGTAACATCTGGGCTGGCTGTTGGAAGACCACTTATTTCTGTTACACCTGGGCTGGCTGTTGGTTGACCACTTTGTCCCGGAAGTCCATGACTAGACGTGGGCACACCACTCTGACCTGCAATTGGACTAGCTGTGGGAAGACCGCTCATTCCTGTTACACTTGGACTGGCTGTGGGAAGACCGCTCTGCCCTGCACTTGGACTGGCGGTTGGAAGACCGCTCATTCCTGTTACACCTGGGCTGGCTGTTGGTTGACCACCTGGCCCTGTTGGTGGCTGTGCTGATGGGCTACCACTCTGTCCTGGTATAGGACTTGCTGTTGGCATTCCGCTATGGTCAATGCTTGGTGGAGCAGATGTTATCTGAACGACTGGGCTGACACTCGGTTTAGCTGATGGAATGAGAGATGGTGTCATCTCATTGGAGCCAGTGTATACAGCATATGTAGTGACCACGGGGTTGTAGGGTGTGGCTGAAACATAAAACATAATCAGCATTACATTACGAGCATTAAGAGAAACAACATTATCTTTACTTTCAAAGAAGTTATGATGCTGAATAGGTTAATACCGGTTAACTAACACGTTAACAGTATTTCACAAAACACAGATATCTTACATTGAGCACAGTCACAGAAGAATCGGACTGCATAATCCAGACACTGGCCATTGGACTGTTTGCTGTTGAAGCAGAGGAGACCAGCCTGTTTGTCACATGTTACCTGCTGCCCTGTCATTTCATGACCTGTATTGGTTCCAGCAACAACACACTCTATAGAGATGATATTGCTCTCGTCACAGAACTTGTTTGACTTTCTCAGCTTGTCAATGGTCTCCAGGTCTCCCCCATCTGAATCTCCAGGGCGTGCCTCATTCATCATGGATGTCCAGCCATGGTTGCAGACAATGGTCTCTGGCTGCCCACTGATTCCAGCTACTGGGGATACGGAGGGGCGTGCAGTTGGAGTAACCGAAGGCACTTCACCTGGAGTTGTCTCTTCTCCACCTGCAGAGAGATATGTTAAGTGGGTAAGCCTATGTTGTTTTACGCCGTACTCAGCAACATTCCAGCTATATCTGGATCTGGCAAGTCATTGACATAAAGTATAAGCAACAATTCACGAAGTCAGCCAAGGAAAAGAGAGACCTGCCACAAGATGGCATTATAGAGTGAGTGCGTGAGTTGGGTTTAACGTTGTTTTTTACAGTATTCCAGTCATATCATGACGTTCCTATTATAGACTCTTACAACAAGCAATGGTTACTGTGGACGGAATCTGTTCGCAATTCCAACCGGTTGTAGACATTATCAGTTGAACGAAATTAATGTATAACGTGTGCGTAGCATGAATATAATGTATGATTAGCATGAATGACCATAATCCTCGATGTTCATAGTGTGTTAATAAATCACATGCCGAATTTATCAAATAAAGTTGCACATCTACTTTGGTATAATGTAGTCACCATGTGTTATTATCTCTATAAATATTGTAAGCGTTCGTGCGAATTGATACATTATTCATATACATAGATCATGATCAATAAAGATTATACTTACAGAAACAATAGAATCGAACTTCATAATCTGCACATTGTTGATTTTCTCCATTGATACATTCAAGCCCGTAGCTATCACAGTTAACCTGCTGTCCAGTAGATCTATAGTCAGCTTTAGTTTCGGCAACTCTACATTCAGCTGAAAGAACCTTCATGCATGTTTTTGGATACCCAGCAATTCCACTGACAGTTTCAACATCGCCATTGCCAACTGTAGGTTTATCAGAGTTGATCCACCCTGTCCACCCCTCTTTACAAATCTGCAGAGAGGCTGTTGGGGTGCCTCCTTGTATACCGGATGGACTGGCTGTTGGAAGACCACTCTGTCCTGCACTTGGACTGGCTGTTGGTTGACCGCTTTGTCCTGTAACACCGGGGCTGGCTGTGGGAAGACCACTCTGTCCTGCACTTGGAATGGCTGTTGGTTGACCGCTCTTTCCTGTAATACCTGGCCCGGCTGTTGGCTGACCACTTTCCCCTATACCTGGAGTAGCTGTTGGAAGACCACTCTGTCCTGCACTTGGACTCGCTGTGGGAAGACCCCCCTTTCCTATAACACCTGGACTGGCTGTGGGAAGACCACCCTGTCCTGCACTTGGGCTCGCTGTTGGTTGACCGCTCTTTCCTCCTGTAACACCTGGACTGGCTGTAGGAAGACCACTCTTTCCTGGAAGACCTGGACTGGCTGTTGGGAAACCTGTTTCACTCTTAGGAGGTTCAGCGGTAGGTGTTCCCTCTGGGGCAACAGTGGACGGACAAGCATCTGTACAGTATAACCTCACTTCATAATCTAAACATTTCTTTCCATTAGGTTGCATGGAATCTACACATACAAGACCTCTGTTCAAGTTGCAGGAAACACCCATTCCACCAGATTTTTCATATGATATTTCCTTTGGATTTTCAGATGTGGGTTTCACTCTACATTGTATGGCTACTGGCTGGGCACAGAATGGATATTTCAGGCGTAGGCTGCTCATTGTTTCAAAGTCACCATCAGTCCCTGGTTTCTTCTCAAAGGAATTCATCCACTGTGTCCACATACACGACGGAATTGACTCAAAAGGCTGTCCGGGTTTAGGAGTTGTATACCCTGGGGCTAGTGTTGGCTTAGCGGTTGGTACTGCAGTTGGATTTTCTGAAACAGGATTGAAACTTTGAGTTGCTTAAATAAGATTTGTGACGTGTAAATCAAACATTGTAACTACCTCAGTCCATTATATAAGATTAGGAACGATATCAATAGATGCACTTTATCTAGATAATGGTTCAATTGACACTTACGGCCACAGTCACAGAAAACGCTGATTTCATAGTCATCACATATGCCTGCAGCTTGTTTGTCGTTAGCACATGAGAAGCCCTGCTTGATGTTGCATTCTGTTCCTACATCAGCTGTCATGTGGTACATTTGGCCGGTAGTGGCACTCCTGCACTGTACACTAGATAGTTGTGAACAGAAGCTGTAGTAATATCTAAGTGCATCAAGGTCTTCATGATCACCGTCTCCTTCAAATTCAAAGCTGTGGCTGATGGTAGGTCGATCAGTGTTCATCCAGGCTGACCAGCCTTCAGTACAACTGTAAGGAGCTTTTGTCATTACACTGCTGGTGGGAAGACCACTCTGCCCTACATTCGGACTCGCCGTTGGTTGACCACTCTGTCCTGCACTTGGACTTGCTGTTGGCAGACCACTTTGTCCTGGAAGGCTTGGGCTGGACGTGGGTACACCACTCTTACCGGCGCTTGGACTGGCTGTTGGTAGACCACTCTGTCCTGCACTTAGGCTGGCTGTTGGCTGACCACTTTGTCCTGGAAGTGCTGGGATTGACGTGGGTACACCACTCTGTCCTGCACTTGGACTGGCTGTTGGTTGACCACTCTCTCCAGGAATTGGACTTGCTGTTGGCAGACCACTTTTTCCTGGAAGTCCTGGGCCAGACGTAGGAACACCACTCTGTCCTGCACTTGGGCTGGCTGTTGGCTGACCACTTTGTCCTGGAAGTCCTGGGCCAGACGTGGGAACACCATTCTCTCCTGCACTTGGACTAGCTGTTGGCTTACCACTTTGTCCTGGAAACACTGGACTGGCAGATGGCGCTGCTGAACCTGAAATTATTTTGGACTTATTACCTTCTTATCACAATTTAAAAAACAATATTATAATATATATATCATGAATATAAGAATGCTCACAGAAACGGCTAACTTAAAAAAATGTATGACAGCTTAAAAGTGATTACTTACAGTCACAGTAATATCGAACTTCAAAGTCGAGGCAGAGTCCGCTGGGCTGGTCTTTATGGTAGCATTTAAGTCCCTCTCGCAGATTGCATGTGACCTTCTGGCCAGACATTTCGGCCTTGGTGTTCTGGCCAACGACGCGACATTCAATGGCACTCATCATAGAATGGTCACAGAAGGAATATGACTTCCTAAGACCAGTGATGGTCTCAATGTCTCCGATATTGGCTGGTGTAGGCACAGAGTAACTCATCCAGGAGGTCCAACCAGTACTCAGACAGGCAGGGGGTATTGCTGTAGTTGCATAGGGCGTTGCGGTTTCGGAGGAAACTGTGTGTATAGTTGGGGAGACTGTTGGTTGAGCCGTAGGTATGACAGAAGGGGTTGAGACAAATGGTGTACTTCCCGTGCAGTAGCCCATTCTCTTCAGTTCCCCATTGGTACAAGTACTGTGGAATACAAACCAAACTGTTAGATGTCATTGTATACTAAATACATGTCTATAACTTAGTAATGTATGTGTATGCATGTGTGTGTGTGTATGCTTGTGTAATCTTGCTTGAGTGTGATGGACGCAGCTTTGAACAATACTATAATTACACTACATCTTTTCAGCTAAATGAGAGGGGTACCTGAAGTGATGCAGGTATAATTTGTTTTATCACTTTGCTGTAACCTGTCATGACAGGTATGTTGTTTAAATCGGGTTGAATCTGGGATTCTATCCATACTACATTGTAGGATCATGGCACGCCTGGGACAAAACTTGTAACATTTAATTGCAACTCTTTAACAATCCCCAGTGCCCCCTTTAATTTTAAGTAACCTGTAAACAGCGACAGCATATATCAAAATAAGACGAGATCAGAAGCTGGGTATGAAACTTCCCTTTTAGTGTATTGGCTTTATGATTTCCATTCAGATTCAAAACAAATCCTTAATGCTTTAACAGCGTTGAATGTTTCCTTTATCACTTAAAATATATGATAATTTATTAATATTCGTAAATGAGCTGTTGGTTACATTATTTTCCGATGATGTGTGGATTGTAGATATATAGCCCATGCTATAAATGTCCTGTGGGCTTCAGGAACGCCGATTAAATGTGTATGTTTTCTGTCATAAGGCTCTTTCAGTTGTCGCGCTATGTGTAAAAAAACAGGGGAAGAGAACTGCTCGCTCACCAGATCTCACACTCAGATCTACAAATGGTCTCATCGGTGATCCTGTCTCCCTCTATGTATGCTCTTCCGTTAAGGACACAGGCTGTGGTGTTACAGAAAGGCTCTGGGATGCACTTCATTGGTGAGACGTTATTGTCGTACACCTGTCCTGGGAGGCAGGCCTGGGCATCACAACCCTCGAAACACAGGTCCTGCTTGCAGTCCCGTGTCAGTTGGTCATACACAAGACGGTTGTCGCAAGTCTTCTTTGGGCAGGTAGAAATACAGGGGTTGTAGGTGAAGCAGTCGGTGCATTCAATGGCTGGAAGAGGAGCAAAATGAAATATGGTGAGTGAGTTTTATGGCAGCACTATTCCCACAATATCTCGGCGAGGGACACCATAAATGTTGTACACAGTTGAAACTTGGTTTTCACAGGTGACCAATATTCGTAACTACTGTAGCCCCCTGATGTCATGTCCCTGAATGACCTAAGCGGGTAGATGAGGTTTATTTTGCGGTAGAGATAACCATCAAATACATACCACAAAGTTCATTGCTCCTCCATCTGATGGGCACTCCTTTGACAGCGCATTCATGGGCATAAGCGGCAATAGCAGTACAGAGACATTCACAGTCGCCTCCTAGGTCACAAGCACAGGCATCAAATATGCATTTGTCCATGTAAGCCTGGTAGGCTACGACATGGTGACAGGGCTCAAACAGGTCAGACTGCATGATGCCACATTTCTTCTGAGCCCACGGTTTGCGGTGAGGAGCTGCCTCACAAGTGTCAGTGATGACAGTTGAGGGTGCGCAGTAGTCATGGACCTTCCAGGAGTCGCCAAAAGTTGTGGCCTTGACGGCGGGAGGACCTCCTTGGGGCATTTGGAAGTCATCCTTTTGATCGCCATTGAAGTTACCACATAGACCAACAACCTGGCAAGATGAAACGAGTTCGTGAGTTGGGTTATATATTAGATCAGGTGTATCACGGCTCATCAGCTTTATGTGGAGGAAAGGTCATAGACGCTTCCAATGACCAAAACGAGGCACATGTATGATGCTGACAAACTGAGAATGATAATCGGGGAAGATCTTGGATCATCAGATTCTGGAAGGATCATGGTCGAATTGCGATGCCTCGGACAACTTGGCACCTTGTGTCCCTAAATGTTATCTTAAACATGACGTTAGCTTACAATTGATTTTGTGAGAGTAATACCATGGACTACGTTTGGTTAGACGTCACATAAGTATTCTGAAATGTTATTCTGAAGAGTCTTTTCAGTTTATACAAGTGATGCTGTCTAATATCATACAGTTATGCCAGTCTTAAATTGAATATGGAACAACATAGTGCATGATACATTTACCTAACAACAAGCATATGCCATGACATGTGGATGTGTTCATATGGCCAACAAAGTTGATCAATATCAATAAGTATAACACATCAACGCATTCAATTGGTCTTAAAAACCAAAAATAACCTGAAAATCATAGGAATAGATCAATAAAACCCAGTAACGATACCAAGTGTTAGCGAATAAATCTGCATTTACCTTATTCCTGTGTGGTGTGCTAAGCCTGATGTAAAGGGTTGTTCCTTTGTCCCACTGCATGGCGATCCCTAATGTGGTGTTAATGTAGATAAAGTTGCCAACGTCCTTGATGTCGAAAGGTGACCCCGGCTCTGTCGTGACTGGTTTACCACGAACAAGATCAAGGCGGTAGAAGTTAGCAGAGCCAGGCTCACCCACAGAAAACTCTATTGCCTTGGTGCAAGTTACACCACTGGTGCCACAAGGGATGTTCTCAGTGGTGATCAGGAACTTGACGCCATTGGTATCTGTAGATTTGGCAAGGACATAGTCGCAGTTACCTTGGAACTCAAATGGCTTCCCGTCAAAGGTCCTGTAATGGGAGTCACCGTATGTGCTGCAGATGGCGGGACAGTCCTTCATCTCACATTCCCACTTGCGACTCTTGCATGTGCTGAGAACAGACAGCATAGTGCAAAAGCCTCAATATTTTTTTCCATAATAAGGAATGCCATATTAAGAGTACAAACATTATTTCATTCATATATGATTTCACATTAATGCCATTTGAATAAAGTTCTCTTACATAAGAGGCTTGATTGGATGACAATATTGCTCAGTCCTCCAACACAAAATTCCAAATGTTAATGGTAACATGTATTCTTTGTTGGAACTCAATGTTCATTTGTACATTATAATGTTTTATTGAAGGCATAAGAAGCAAATATAATTAACTTATAACAAATCTGATAATGGTGAAATGTACCAACCATTCATTACAGTCCATTACGATCTTATCGTCCTCGAAGTAAGCCTTCCCTCCATGGTGACATGGGCACTGGTTGGACTCCACACATCGGTCACCCTCCTTTACAAACCCTGGTTTACATACACAGCCAGGCTCACAGTTGCTCGTGGTGCACGTGGGTGGGTCGTGCACGTTGTCGCATGTGACGGGGCATGCAGAGACGCAGGTTGTGTACTCCTTGTTCTCCTCACAGAGAGACTGGATAGGCTTTGTGGTGGGCAGGGGTGTGGATCCGTCTTTGCCGTGAAGGTTCTGACAGTGCCATTTGGCACCAACGCATTCACTGTAAATAGCCATGTTTTATGTTAGAGGCAATAAAAATTCGGGAAAGTCCATGTAGTTATGGCGAAGCCCCGAGTTTGATTCACCACGTGGGTGCAATTTGTGTTGCCAAGTTTCGGTGTCCTCGCCATTATCTTTGCTTGAATATTGTTAAAAGCGACATGAAACCTTACCCTCACTCGCCGCTTGAGAAGAGATTTACACAAAACGCAAAAAGTTAATTCAGTTAGAATTAAAATGTACAATTATATCCATCACCGTATATCATTCATGGTCTGTTGTATATATACAAAAAAAAATCATCTACATGGTAATTTGCTAATTCAGTACCACTGTGTACCTGTAATAGAGACACATTTTGAAATGTAGTATTGACACACAGGAAAGAGCTAATCAGGTGGAGTTTACAGTGCCTGCACTCTTGATATAGGGTTTATGCGGAATGAATGTTTACCAGAGTTCATCTCCCTTGATGGTGGTGTATCCAGCAGCATATTCCCTCTCGTCAAAAATGCAAGGACACTGTGTAATGCTGACACACTCGCCATCGTTGTTCAGTGACTCGCCTGCGGGACAGTTGCATCCTTCCACGCATCTCTCCTGACAGGCCTCGTTCTCGGCAATGTTTCGGCAGGTTCTGGCGCAGGGGCTGCCACAGACTTGATACTCCTGACCGCCGGTACACACCAGTGCTGGTGATTATTGAGCACAGATATTGAGTACTGGACCATTGGTGGTGTACATTGAAACATTGGTAGGGCATATTGCGACATTGCTTAAGAACATGGAAACATTATGAGTAGACATTGAGACACTGAGAGTAGACATAAAACCCAAAATCGAAACACTGCAAATGAACGTTGGAATATTGACATATTCGACAAGGTGATTTCTGAGTCTGGATGGAATAAGGAGGAGGCTTGCAATAAAAGGTGTTGTACTATGTCTCAACTCACCACACTCGGTAATTTCAGAACGCCAGTTGATCTTGATGCCCTTAGAAGCACAGGTGTCGGCGTATTCGCCGAAGTTGGGGCACATGCAGTCTTTGAGGTTATCGGTGCAAGCACATGTGTCATACAAACAATCGTCATAGAACTGGTCGACATCCACAACATCATGACATTCTGGAAGATGAACGAAACATATTGTATGAAAGCCACCGACCTGTCTGGCAATCACTTTAAAGGTGTTACCGAACATGTTCGCCCTTAAATATCACTGCCACACTGACCCTGAAAGTATGATATGAACCTTTGAATATCATTGACAAACTGACTCTTGAATATCATTACTATACTGACCCTTGAAAGTGTCACTCTTAAGCTTCTGGCATTCAGTCACAGCCTTGGCTTTCCTCTGAGCGTTCAGGTCACAGGGGTGGGCCTGAGGGGTCGTAGGCATGTCACGACACGTGGCCTCAGTCTTCCAGCGGTTACCAAAGGCGTTGACATTGGTCTCTATGTCACCTTCCTTTGTGAGGAAGTCATTGTTCTGGTTGCCGTCAAAGTAGCCGCAGAGACCCTTGGTCTTCTTCATGAAGGATGGAGGGGCGGTGATGTAGGCACGAGTACGCCCGTCCCAGAGGATCTTGATGCCATTATCCAGCTCAGCCTAGAAATAAAGATCAACTAGGGTTTCTCCAATTTGGATGGTTGTAATACGTTTTCTCAATTATTTATTAGATCTACAAGCCTATGAGGTTGGTGTATCATAGAATTATTCGAATATCCTTATTAGGTGATATATTTCAGTTTAGATATGGATGTGATGAACAACCTCGTCAGAAACATGCCAAATATCACTTGATTTATTTTATCATCAGGTTTTCTGTAGACTACGACTGACATTGTACAGTTCAAGAGCCTAGCCTAGTGGTAAAAGCGTTCGCTCGTCACGCTGAAGGCCCAGGTTCGATTCCCAACATGGGTACAATGTGTGAATCCCATTTCTGGTGTCCTTCGCTCTGTTATTGATGGAATATTGCTAAAAGCGACATAAACCAATACTCACTCACTCCAGAGAAATTGAATAAAACATTTCATTTGGTCCCAATTGACTCAATTGGCAGTGACTGAAATATTTATTATATGAAGGCATTGATTACCTCTTAAATATGTGTCGGTAACTAATCAGTGATGCGCCCCAAAATTCCTCAAAACATTAAACAATCCACAGCGAAGTGCCAAAGATGAGACACCAATGTTAGACTCACCTGCATGAAGAGAGAAGACACCATAAAGATCTTGATTCCCTCAGCCTTGTATGGAAGTTTGGTGATTTCCTTCCCATTCACAAAGAGCTGGTGGTTGTGGTCAAGCTTGATGTTCATTCCATTGACATCAAGGGTGACAGATTTCGTGCATGATGCCTCGCCATGTCCACATTTAATGTTGTCAACGATGATGTCGAAGTTTGGGTCGTAGATGAGGTAGTAGCTGCAGGTACCCATGAAGTTGTAGCGGAAACCATCGAACGTCATGTAGTGAGGATCTCCAGTGGCAGAACAGGTAGCTTCACATTTCTTGGTAGTACAGTTCCACTTGCCACCATAGCATGTGCTGAGGTAAACGATGAGGTATGTGAGTTTGTTGTGAACCCCGTTTTGAACAGTATACAGTGAAGGCATACAATGAATCAGACAATAAACGTTTGCCACTTCGTTGAACCCAAAAGTATAACCAACAAGAACCAATGAAAATAAATGTGGCGAGTTGGCATTTCAAACTAAGAAATCAGATAATGGTTTAGCTAACTGTGCCTGTATGTGACAGTTGCATCCTAGGTATATGGTCTTATGGTGGAATAATCAAAATCATAAAAGAACTGTTCATAAATAACAAACTAGTGAGACCACTAAACCTCCTGGCTAGTAAATCAACTCGCCTTCAATTTCATCATGTACACTTATTTGTGAGATGTACTGTACCATGTGTTGCAGTCCCTGGGGATGGTTGCTCCTTGGTTGAACTCATGACCATTGCTCTCACAGGGGCAGGTGTCAGCAGGGATGCACTCGCCGTTGTGGAGGACGGTACTGTCGGGACAGAAGCAGCCATCAACACATGCGTCTTCATTGCAGGTGGCACTTGTGTCCTGACACCTCTTCTGACAGGGGCTACCACATTCCTTGAAGATCAGGTTTCGCTGACACACCACAGCTGTTTCAAGGAAAGACGCATATTTGGAAACAAAGTCTCAAAAGTACTTGTGAACGTGAAGGCTGACCCTGTACCTCTGATATAATGCTGACTAATGTCAAAGAACTTTTTATCAATGTTGACCAGGGAAACATGTTAGGACGTAAGCGAATCTGTAGCATTAACACGGTACAAATACCAAATTTCATATCAGGATTATTTATCAATTTCCTTGCAACCGAATTTCATTCTCAACTTCCTTGGGATTTTACAAACTTATAGGACTTGATTAAGTTCACATTTCGATCTCATCCTACCCATTCAATGTTGGAAGAACAGAAGCATACACTGAACAAAGTAATTCCTGAGACACCACATATAACATGTGTTTAAGTGTGGGAGAGGACTGGAACCCGACTTGTGTGCTGTATCCAGGACCACATGCCGCAACACAATGTTAGAAGAGTTATCTCCCTTACACCATTATGCACTACTCACGGCATCTGTCTGGCTTTCTCCAGGAGAGTTTGACCTTCTTTGACATGCATTCCCTTGAGTAGGCCTCGAAGGTGTTGCACATGCAGCTGTTGGCATCACCATTGCAGCAGTCGGTCTTGCAAGCCTCGATGTAGGGGTTCACATCCACAAGCTGAAGAACAAACATTTATATGAAAATAACAATTTGAGACGAAGTGGTGCAGGCCTTAGGCATTTACCAAGGTGCCTACTTACCCAGAAGAACACTCAGAGCGAATCATAGTGAATCCTGGGACTACTAAACCACCCGTGACCCACAAATAAGATGGATTCTGGCTGAATTGCATGTACAAGTGTAATTAATGCATATCAATGGCGTGATAGACACTTCTCGCAGCATGACTGCAATACTTGCACAAGTGAAACATATCTATGGAGAGATGGACAGCATCTGTGTATGGATAATACCCGCAACATGGCTGCAGTACTTGTACAAGTGTACTCTATCTATCGAGGGATTGCCTGCATTTAAAGATGGACAATACTCACAGCATGGCAGGCAGCGAAGGAGCCATCTGTCAGCAGCTGCTGGCAGATAGAGGATGCCTTGAGGGCCTTCTGGCTGTTTTGGGGGGTGTCCATCTTGCACACGCCATGTTGGGAGACGTCGGGACATGAGGCTGCAACACCAAGTAAATGAGTGAGCGGGCTTGGTTCTACATTGAGTCACCATCTTGTTTTATTACTGTTTAAATACTTATACAAAATAACTTCAAACGTTTCAATTTCAATTTTATGTAGCTCTTCAACAGTGTATGAAGAATATTTTGCCTTTCTGCTCAAAATTTATAAAGTTACACCAAAACCATCCTCTCGTAAAGGTTAACTGAGCAGCTTTGATGCATCTAACAAGAGTATCTGGCCAGCTTTAATGCATCTCGTAATGAGTATTTGGCCAATTTTGATTGATCTCACTTACATCCATCAAGAAGTTCCTTCTTCCAACTTGTGGCGAAACTAGCGGCAGATGTGACAACTTTGCCGGCGTCTGTCTCGAAGTCGTTGTTGGGGTCACCATCGTAACGGCCACACAGACCACACGTCTTGCCCTTCAGATCATCCGCTACCTGAACGAAGATGGACTCCTTCCCGTCCCATTTGACCTTAAAGCCAAGTCCACTTTTGATGGTGATATAGGAGCCGACCAGTTCATACACAACACCGTCATGTGCGCCGGGGACTTTCACCTGTCGAGATACATGCATCTATAATGACGGGTGCTACCGGTAGAACAGGATATGCTTATCCATTTCGCGAACACCTGGATTCATCACTGATCCATTAAGTGGTCCTGTAGTATATTTTTCATCACAATTTTTTTTTGAGTTTACAAATTTGCTCGGTGGATTCGCCTGACTGCCACTACACGTTGGGCTATCAATCGCCAAGGAGATTTGCCATAACTAGTAAATGCATAGCTTACCCAATCACCTAGGCGTTTACAATGACTATCAGTAGAACTGACTGTTTCAGTGACCACGAAGGTTTCTGTGATTTGTGATAGATTGAACTCCCAAAAAGCTGTACAAGAACGAACGTGTTTTACACAAGAGATACTCAAAACACTCACAGGGGCATCATTCCACGTGACCTCGGGTCCATCAGCACCTAGGCCTTGACGCAAGCTGATTTTCGTTGCACCCATATAGATGTCAAGTTCCCTCTTGCATTGTTTTCCGACCGTGCAGTTCCCGTCGTTGATGACGTGGATGTCAAAGGTGTTGAAGGCGCAGTCCTTAGCGAGGAGGTAGTGGCAGTTGCCCTGGAATGTGTACATCTTGTTGTCGAATGTCCTGTAGTGATCCTGGCCCCATGCAACGCAGGTGGCGTCACCGTTGACCTCGGGGTGGACTGTAACATGAAGTGAGTAAGTGAATACTTTTATACACCACAGTCAGCAATATCCCAAAAACATAATCCATCGCCGGATAACCCGGTGACTAAAAGCATGGCCACCAATCCCGTTTAGTCTCCTCTAACGACAAGCGTACAATGTAAGCTCCTGGGGATCCGTTCTAGCCCGGAATTTGATCAAACTTGCCATTACAGATACATGACAGCAGCACTGAACCCTTCTTATTAACATTTAACTATCAGTGTGTACTTACTTAAGCTACCAGTTGGCTGGACAGATGGGGCAACAACTTGTTCTGAAATGCAAACGCACATATTTCATTTGTTTGTGGGGCGGTCGGGTAGCCTAGTGGTGAAGCGTTCGCTCGTCACGCCGAAGACCCGGGTTCGATTCCCGACATGGGTACAATGTGTGAAGCCCGTTTCTGGTGTCCCCCGCCGTGATATTGCTGGAATATTGCTAAAAATGGCGTAAAACCATACTCACTCACTCACTCATTTGTTTGTTTGTTGACTTTGTGACGACGGCCTGTACATAATCGTGTCTGGATTCGATGATCCAGTGATTAATATTAAGAGCAATGATACATGCCGTCGGGGTACGTTGACACACAATGAACCCATTCACTAGACCTAGATGGGGCCCAATTCTAACCCTGTGATAACAGTGAGTTGGACTTAGCCCCACTGCAGAGTATTGCATCCATGAATAAGTTTATGATCGCTCTTTAGTTTAGCTCCAGCTGATAATAACCACTCACTATCACATGTGTTCTACATTGCAACATCACTACCCACCTTGCACACAGTCTGGGATGCTCTCCTTCGGGGGACTCCATGTGCCATCAGCAGTGCACCTGTACTCGGCAGCAGGGGGCGTCTTGAACTTGAAGGTGGGTGCACATCCCACAGTGCAGACAGTAGCGGTACTGTCGGCCTTGCACTGGATGCTGCCGAACATGGGACCAGCGGGCTTCACGCAGAGACTAGCATCTGAAGGAACGCATTAGTCCGTCGACGTTAACTTAAAGGAGTTGTAAATAATTGTCTTTTCCTCTTTATAACTCTCGTCTGGCGTAAGACTAACAATTACTGATCTTCCAATGTAATTACTATAAACCGATACAATTTTACAATTGCTAAGTCTTCCCGTCCAGCAGAACATTTTTGGGATATGCCTTATAATTATGTTGTATTTTTAGTTTAGAACAGATGAAAGATAGATATAGTAACTTACGGTGCTGGCAGTGTGTTCCTCGCCATCCGTCTATGCATGCGCACTTATTAGGCTCCTTGCACGATCCACCGTTCAGACACCCCGGTGAGCACACAGCTGTAATGGAACCTTCACATGTATACTGTTTCTTTTTTAGGCCACAACCAATTGATCTTTTTTGGCTGGAGATACATCTATTCAGAAAACTGATTTCTTTGTCATGTCAAAGAGCCAATGTCAAAGAAAGGCTTCACACTGAATCATTTCAGAATCAAGGCCGTCGGTATACGATGGACGTAGTCAAGTCACCGAGCCTGACCAGAAGATCCAATTGTGTCAGTGTTTACGACATAGGTTACTGGGATCAAAGCCTAACCCGTGTCTCCACTAGGCTGATCAGAATGAGCGTATGATCTACGGTTCTAACGTTTAATCAGTCTCTTTTCGACATTCTGTCGATTATGGTTTTCTAAGGGCCATGATACTCACGCTGACACTCGGGGACATCCTTCCCGTCAAACCAGTTTCCATCAAAGTTGTCACATGATCTTTCTACAGAAGCCTCGTTTGTCTTGAACTGGAATCCTGTGTTGCAGGTAGCAGTGCAGACACTGTGGAAATCAAAACTGTGGTTTAGCATCGCTTTGAAGCCTCTTACCTAAAGCATTTCGCCAAAACATCGTAGCAAGCATAAACACTATTGGATAACTGGTTAGTTATTATCACCTGCTTCCGTCGGAAGCGTACAATCTACTTTTCTCAATCTAGGACCTCTACTTACAAGTCAAATCCATCGGGGCTGCTGGCACAGTTGATCTTTCCGTTATTGGGGGCAGGTATAGGTTGACAGGCGGAGTTACCTACCGCTGCAATAGACGAGAAAGGAACATACAAAACAGTTACACGTGTAGAGGTTACGGTTGTTCTTGGTCCAACTGTTACATCATAAGTAAGGGCATTTTTTGTTTGATAGGCGTTACTTAGAAGTTGACGATACCTTAGAAGATACCTTAAAGGTGACGTTTAGGTATAGGTCCTTTTACCGTCAGTCTTGCTTGAAACGTCGCCTTTACAGTATTAAAGAATTGTTTTCCATATATTGTGTCTACTTTGTAAGTGCATTTTGTTTTACACCGCAACAATCCACGCCGTCGGGTATTGACAACGCCATGTAGTCTTGATCTTCAGACAACTTCTACTGTTTGCATATTCGTCATTACAAATATAAGTTAACATCTTTTTATTTCACATAGTTAAACCTGCCCTGGACGCAATATATTAACTGTACTGTTCCCTTTTATTATGCATTGCTGAGTCATCGACGTTTCCTAAATAAGTATGTAAATACGCACATAGAAAGGTATAATCTTACGCATCAAATCAGGGCTTGCTCTGTAAAGTGGTGAAAGGTTTCATAGCTAACAATTCTCAGTTTGTTTTCTGTGCCACACGCAATGGTATGTTCGCCCTGCTGGGTCACAAAACGACAAAACATGTCGAAGTACATTACAAAATGCCTTATGATTCGTTGACCAGTGAAAATATGTAAGATTATATATAGCGGAATAAAAAATATGTTATTTTAGAATATTTTCCACTTCACAATCAATTTTTTCTGCCGAGTGACTTTAGCCTGTGAGCTTATATTAAACAGTATTTTTTACATCCTATTTGCGTTTACCTGAAACATTGAAAGTAATGTCAATGTCACCACATGTGAATATATTATACACTTCTCAAAAGACGTTACATTGTAAACATATGAAAGAAAGTTCTTTAACTTCTTTTGAGTATTATAGTTTGGATATGTGTCAGAACAGCCATACATTCCTCTACTTAAAAAGATGATGACATGTTGATGGTCTTATATCATATGTTTTTTGGCCGCTTTTGGCAATATTTCAGCAATATCACAGCGGGGGGACACCAGAAATTGGTTTCACACATTGTACCCATGTAAGGAATCGAATCCGGGTTTTCAGCATGACGAGCGAACGCCTTAACCACTAAGCTACTTCACAGCCCCTTAACGCCACTGTGAACAATATTTATTTTACATCACAGCACATCAACTTGATTTGGGAGGAAGATCCGAAGTGATGCGAGTCTTAGACTTTCAGCACATGTGTGGCACCCACGGGTTTGATGGTGGCATATCTAGAAATATTATCAGAGTGAACGGTGGAATCGAACCCACGATCATAGGTTTGTGTGACGTCAACGGCACGTAACTCTTCACACAGATTTGCGGCGTCTCAGACGACTGGGCCTACCCGTGCCACCGACAAATACATAATTCAGGTGTATAAAATATTACAACTTACCTTGACGCTTGACTCTGGCAGCTCTGTAAACAGGTTAAAAAAACTTGATAAAGATTGTCATGAGTGTTCAAACATTATCAGTAGGAAACAAAGGCTCACTGGTAAGTCATGAAACCTTAAGATCAACCCCATGGGATTTCTTTTTCGGGAAGGTTGTTATTCATTTATTAGTGGTTGCAAATTCATTTCTTACACAAGTCTTCATTGAACCAGTTTATTTCATACATATATATTTTCATTACGTTTTGCAATCTGTTGCAGGAATGAATGATGGTTAAACAGACACACTTAAATTTGACAACAGTTCTTTCCATTTCCAATAAAATAATAAAACTCGATAACTTTCTTTTGTCCCTCAGTTAAACAATTTGCTTAATGCATAAATTGATACCTGAAGCCCATATTGAATCCAGACTTCAGAGAAATAATAAAAAACAATTTTATACATGTGCATCTTTGATAACGTATTCTATGCCCAAAGAAATTCTTGACTGAATATGACTTAGAAAAATAACAATTTCCATAAATTAACTGACGTGTATTGAAAGTGATGGGATAAACTTCTTTATTGCATGAAGCGAGGAACATTTGGGAGGACTTAATAGAAGCGATAAAACCCTCTCCATAGCCAAAAGAAATCTCTGCTAAAAGGTACAAATTACAACATATATTCACAGAAAATACATAAATCTGTATCAATGCACTGTAACACATGTGAATTTATTTTGTCAAAGTAAATAGCAAGAAAAAATTATATCTACAAAGAAATACAATCCTCCAAATCTTTGATGACATAAGAATATGAACTTACTCGATGGCCGAGAAAAGCAGAATGCCAAGGTACAGGGTCTTGAGAGAGGCACCTGGTGCCATTTCGATAGGCGCACAATTACAGCTGCAAAATTCCCTTGGCTGTGTCCCCGTTGATGTCGAAACTTTGAGAGGCCTGCGTAAAACTTGAGACAATTTGCGCCCTAGCGCTTGTGAAGCGACCTCTAGAATACTCAAACTTTTATACAGTAAGTACTTGCACGGAGCGACCAATCGCCGATCAGCTGTCTGGCGTCATGAAGCATTGCTACGTTTCCAAGTAAAGACTCTAGATAACATTTTAGTCTGCGAGGTAAAATCTTTTGAAATGAGTGTACAAGCAAAAAGTACATTTAATATTGACTGTCAGTTCTTATTCTAATTTTGATAAATATGACTATGGATTATAAGTTTTTGTCGATTTTCATTCATTTTATTAATGATTTTACGTATACTTTTCTGTTGAAATGTGCTTGCTCCAGCAGTTTGTTATCTACAATATTAACTTAATTTAGATAAGATTATGTCAAACATAGGAGGGCATTCATAATTCCTTATCAATATTTTGCACACAGTAATGAGAAAATATGCTTGGTCATATCATGGAAGAACAGTGTAATTTGATTTGACGTCTATTTTGAACACTGTGTCATTCCAACTTGGTGCAGGGCTTATGTCACACAAGAAAGACGATATGATATACGAATGAATAAGCGAGGAAGGTAGAATGTGTTCACTAAGTTCAACAACTGACAAGAAAATGATAGCATTTTGTAATAGTACTCACATGACGTTATGATAGAGGTGTTGACACCTTGTTCCTTATACAATATATAGGCATGTAATTTATTGTTAAACAATGATGGTAACTGTATTACATTGTTTCTGTTGAGATTCAGTAGAAGTTCATTGCATAGTATTCGGACAATGATTAGTTGTCAGGAATGTAGTAAGCAGGAGTGGGGGTTATTATATTTAGATGCTCGAATTGTCTGTAAACTTCTGGAAAAGCATTGGTGGATATCACACGTTAAAGAAACATTAAGAATCGTCTGTTCAAGTGATACTGCTGGAAGCTAGTTAGAGTAAATAAGTGGAGCGGGCACGTCTATGTCATATCTCACATCTCATCTGACATTACTTCATTTATATTGGACATTGAAAAGGTTTTGTCGCTTTATTCACATGAACCAAGTCTATTTGTCTGGTGGTGGACATTTTGTCCCCGGGACACATCACTAACTTGGTAGCATTTACAAAACAAATATTGAACGAACAAATCAGAAACTGTTTTTGCCGAGACAGTAAAACTGCCCCCCACCATGCTGCAGATGGTTTGGATTGCAGTCCTCGGTTGGTCCTTCAGGACGTCATGAAATTGACATATGTTCAACATGAAGGCAACTTCTGTTGAGAAACGAAGATTCATTTACAAACATCATTAAAAATGTTCAGTAAAATTGGAGGACATTTTTCTTTCAAACCCATCTCCATGCAATAATTCTTTATGTTGCACAAAAACTTGCAAAACTTGTCCTTATTTGATAACTGATCTTGAATTCAAATCTAACTTAACAGCTAAAACATACTGCACAAAACCTTTTGAAGACCTATCATGTCAAACTCAAAACGTCATATATGGCATTTAATGTGCCCTTTGTGACTGGATTGATTTATGTTGGAGAGACACAACAGAAATGATCGACACGAGTCAGCCAGTATAGATCGGGCATGAACAGAAATGTTTCCAATTGTGTCTACTAACATTTCAATTTTGAAAATCACTCAATTCTTTGCATGAAAGTTAGGATATTGGAGAAAATGTAACATCCCTCTAATACCCATAAATGCAGTCTACCTTATAGCATGTCCAGAGAAAATAATTGGATTCGACCGTTGGGTATAGCAATGCCATATGTATGACAAAATTGGCAGTTGGCAGTCTTTCAACCAACAAACTATTAATGTCTACGTACTGTGTCTGTTCCGGCATCCCAAAGACGTCGACGCAGCCCTGGTCACAAGAAAGGACGACGGCCAAATGATGCCATTCATTTGGAAGATTTGTTGATCATGACTCCCTTTCAGGAACAATTGGGATTGCACAAAGTAAGAACAAGACTATACTCTGTGTCACTGTTTGTTTCTTTCTTGTTTAATGCCGCACTCAGCAATACCCCAGCTATTTGACGTCGGTCTGGAATGATCGAGTCTGTACCAGACAATCCAGTGATTGACATCATGAGCATTGATCCACGCAATTGGGATCGATGACAGGCATCAACCAAGTCAGCGAGCCTAACCACCCGATCCCGTTAGTCGCCTCCTACGACAAGCATAGTCTCCTTTTACGGCAAGTATGGGTTGTGGAAGACCTATTCTACCCTGGAGCCCACAGTATCGACTAGAGAGTACAGTTCTTGATTTGGCCAAACCAGATACAGACTCCTGTAAATCAGACAAAGACTGCACTTGCTTGAATTTACAATTTGCAAACAAGGGAATTGATGCCTTAAATTTAAGTAACATTCTCAGACAAGATCAGTGTCCCAAAATGTCCCAAAATATTTCGAATTTCAGGAACCCGCAAACATTTAATTTTCCTATACGAACACAATTTCATCCAGGTTGTTCAATCATAGGAACGTGTTGCAGAACGTGGACTTGGCACCTCATGATGTAAATTCCACTACTTGTGGCTGCCAAGACTCATCATACTGCATTCAACCTGAAGGTCATATAATCACCGGTGACCTCTCTATTGTTGACAATAAGAACCTTCTTCAGTTATTCAAATATGGACCAAACTACCGTGAGCAACCTCCAACCAATTGGGATCACAATATTAAAATCGCAATGAATGAGTCAAAGAGAAGAGGAACCTGTTGAATGTCTTTCAGAGTGGGTTAAGTCAGTATGTGATGTTGTCATTGGTAGAATACAGAGGAAACGGAATTGGAATAAACCAATTGTGTCCCTGCCAGCTGTCGTCCAAAGTCTGGCTGCCCACATGAAACGTTTGTAGTTGTTCCCACTGACAAGGCCTCAAATAACATAACCATTATATGTAAGCATCTCTACATTAATAGTTTGGTCAAAGAACTTGGTATAAATGACATATTGATAATGCCGCATATAAGGCCAGAATGTTAACTGAGGAAGAAATCTGCCAAAACCATAAATCAGTACTGTCAACTTTCGACTTGACTCTAAAACCTGAAGACATATCCATTCCTCTTTTATACTGGGTTCCAAAGCTCCATAAAAATCCGTACAAAGAGAGATATATTGCTGGGTCCACCAAATCCCTGTCTCAAAGACTAACCATAATCCTTAATACAATCAAGGAAGGAGTTTCTTTATATTCACAGAAAGTATTTGAGACAAAGGATTTGCTTGACCTTTTACAGTCTCGAAAAAGAACCAAGTTCCATCCTGTCAAAACATTTGATTTTTCATCTTTGTACACCACTATCCCTCATGACAAACTTTAGGAAAAACTTCATTCCTTGATCCACGTGGCTTTTGTTACAAAACGTGGTGAACACAGATACATTCACGTATCTTTATTCACAGGTTCAGGACAATTTGTGAAAAATGAAAGCAAATGCCATCTGAGCTTTACTGAGAAAACAAGATGTGACATGCTGGACTTCCTCATTGATAACATCTACCTAAAACTAGAGTGTAAGACAATCAGGCAAGAAGTAAGCATCCCCATGGGCGCAAATTGTGCTCCCCTTCCTTCGGATCTGTTTCTTTATGCATATGCTGTTCGGGTTGGCAAAGTTTAACTTAAGCTTCAGGCATATCGATCTGATATTGTTCAATAATAATCAAATAGCCAATTCCCTTCCATTGATTTACCCACCTGAACTGAAGGTAAATGAGACCAGTGAGACAGCCTCATCTGTTTCGTATTTAGATCTATGCATAAAGATTCAGAGTAACCAAACACTCTCCACAAGAATGTATGACAAGAGGGATGACTTCAACCTTCCAATAGTCGACTTTCCTATAAAAGCTTCATGTCGAGCAAAATCCCCGCAGCTCCAGCCTTTGGTGTTTACATTTCGCAACTTTTGAGATACAATCGAGCATGCTTTTTCTGCCAAGATTTCAAAGACCGTCCAACGACCCTTGTTTGATCAAAATTACAACATTTAAGGGTTCAGTGAAGCTTCCAAAACGCTTTATGGAAGGCATTTGGATGACATTTCCAAATTGGACGCATCAGTGACAAAAAATGATGCCCGATGCAGTTGCCTATTTTGACTTGTACCATACGTTCCCATGTTTTTTCAGGTGAACAATTGAGTTGCCTTTGCATGTGTTTTTGACGGGTGCCACCGGTGGGGCAGGGTACGCTCACCTTTTCGGTAAAACCTGGTATCATTACTATTTGGTAGTGATTCATAAACACATGCTCATGATATTTGTTCGGTCGGATTTGTTCAATCGACTCTGCATTATGCAGAAATGTCTATTGGATATGGAAAGGGTTTTGTCACTTTATTCAAAACCAGCTTTCGTGTGAAGATCACATTTCACTCTGAATTCCTAGCCTAGGCCTATCTCGGAAGTTTGACCACTGTTGCGGTGAGGTGATTATTATTCTTGTCATTGTCATTTCCACTGCTCTCGCATTTTTTTATGCCCCCCCCCCCCCCCCCCCCCTGGATTTTTTAATAGAAAACATTTTTCCTTGTGAAAGTTAACTTGAATAAAAAATGAATAATCTTCAATAAATATCTTGATTTTGGAATTTGTTTCTTGGTTTACTTCCTCTTAAAAGTATTAGAGAGATATTATCAGCTCAATATATCATCACCGCCAATCCTTCTCCCAAGGAGAATGATGATTGTATCACATACGAACATTCTACAAGTAAACATTTTCTAGACACATTGGACAAGTGATACTTGTACAAATATTTGCCCCCCTGTCAAAAAAAAGTTCACTACGGCCTTGGTGTGTCATCATACCCCGACAGCATGAACAAACCAAAATGCTTAAAGTTATCTGACAGAAAGATATTTACTGGCACTTCATAGTGGTCCCACTGCATTCTGCATTGAATAGTCAGCCTTGCATTGTCCTTCACAGGTTGACATGGATGGTTTGTGACACGTGCTCCGCAGATCCTGGTTCGAGCAGAAG